ATATGAAACTTTAACTTAAATCTGGATCTTAAGCCAACGAGAAAAAAGTTGATGACAGTTAATTATAATGAATAAAAAAAAAGTAAAGTCAGTTAGAGGTGTTTATTTATGTCACCCTAACAGAAACAGGCCGGGAGCACAAGGGGGGCATGGGGCTTCCCACACAGAAATGGGTCATCTACATGCCGTAGATGTCCCGAGGTATGTATGTCAGGGTACCAGGGATTTCCTTTCTAGGGTTATGAGAGACGTAGACAAAGTTGCGCGGCTCAACTATTAATATATATAACTACATAACGACAATATTATTCAAAACGAAATCAAATCTAGCTTAAGTAACGACATTAAAATGCAAAGCAGCAGACCGTGTCGAGAAGGCAGATATTCCATCACTTCTCTGTATAAATAAAAGAAAGTTTAGTATGTTATTATACTTTTATTCCTCTATTTCAGAGATAGACGGGATCTTTTAGAAAGACATGGGAAACTTTTTACGAAAACAAAACTCAAAGGATTTAGGGCATAAAAATAAAAGAGATACGCGGAGATAGTCGTGGACTCTAATTACCCAGTAATATAGCAAAAATAACTATACCTAATTCTAAAGAAATTGATGAATTTTGGTATTTAAGAGACTTAAATTCTTCTTTATGGTCAAATTTTATTTTCATGACAAAAAATCATGACTTTAAAACTTGAAGAAGGTGAAATAGATGATATACATTTGTATGAGACTGGCATCAAAATTTATCAACTGAATAAAAAGCAATTTATAAGTAATTAATATTTTTGTAATAAATTTAAAGATTTTTCTCCTAAAGCATTCAACTTGGAGAAAACATTAGGCTACTCGAAATACTAGTTCTATGCCTACGAAGCTGCAAGTATCAACCAACCAGCTAGTATTGCCAGGGGCGGCCTTTGCAGGTGGCGAATCGGGGGCCTCGCTCATGAAGGGGCCTCACGCACTCGTGCAACAACCCAAGTAGAAAAATATGTTTAAAACTCACGACACGCAACTCGCGCTCGATATATTCTTTTCGCCTGTCATTTAGAAAGGACGTATGTTAGATGATCAACTGGAGTACCTCAACAGTGGAAAAGCGTGGAGCCTCCAGCCGGGACGACCAACGAACCATCGTGGTTCAGTAAGTTGCCTGGTGCCACTCGTTCACCTATTCCTGCTGCTACCCGTCCGGTACTCAGCCCCTCCTCACCTCCCATCAAGGATCAGGCCCAGATAGTTCACCTGGGCCTGATCCGGTACCCACGACAGGGCCCATAAAATAAGAGGGCTTTCGTCTTATCCATGGCCACCCATAAAACAAGTACCTCAATGCGCCCGACCACCAGAGAGACACCCAATCAAAGACACTCAATGTTCCACAGGAGAGGCCCAAGTACAGACCCCTGTGGAACACGGCACGACATGGGCCGACATCACAGATATCCATCTTAGTGATGCGCAAAATGTATCACTGAGCTGAAAAGATTGATATATATCATTTCACTCAAAAGATATATATCACTCATCTAGCTCACTAGCTCATTGATCCGATTCAATTGATTGGTCTCTCAATTAATTTATTTCTTCATCTAGATCGTTTAGCTCGGTATACTCGTATATCACTCACTTTAAGCCTCTCTCGCCATACAAACCTTTCTTTATTTTCATATTAACCTAAATTCAGTTTTTGAAACTACATTTTTAACCTATTTTTTTTTAAATACAATTTTATTCATTTTGATAAGATTACATAATTATTAACACCCTTTTACATAATAATTAAAAATAAGAAATTATTTCTTGTACTTTTTTTTAGGTTGTATAATAGAAATCATACATAATTTGATTTTCCTTGTACTTGGCTTAATTCTTAAGTAATTTTAAACTTTGATCCTATAGAAATAATGTACATTTTGCATAAAGAAACTTGCGTGAATTCAACCATCATCTATCTCACTCATTTTTCTTTAGTCTCACTTGCTCATGAAACAAAGATCGGCGTCGTTTAGCTAGTGATCTAGTGAGCTAGTACTGAGTTACTGATATATTCGGAGCTAGTGTGAGTGAGTGATACATTTTATCGTCGTGAATGATAATTATATATCTTTTATATCACTCACTCAGGAGCTACACAACTCTAATCCATCTCGGTCCTTGTACATGACGTTACGCTCCTCTAAATAGTCTGGCACTAGCCGCCTCAGGTACTCTGGCACCCTGTTATAGTGCTTCCCTGATGCAGCTGAATAACAGACTATTGAATGCGTTGGAGATGTCCAACGACACCGCCAACAATACGCTGCCACAGATCACTGCCTTTTCGGTCACGGCCCTTAGGGGCAACACAGCACTGACAGTCGAACGACTGACTCGGAAGCCAGGGGCAACGTCCGCGTCGGGGCACCAGGGACTTCCTTTCTAGGGTATACCTGGTTCCCCGGCTATTAGTACCCGGCGACGGCGTGCGGTTTTAGTCGGTTCGAGTCCGACATGCCACCGGCAGGTGGTATCCGAGGGGATTTCCGCACGGAAAAAAAAAGGGGCAACGTCCGCCCGCAAGCTAGTGGCTGATTTATCTGCCCGGGGCCTCTTAATGGCTATGGCCGCTACTAAGTATTTCCATAAGAAGAACTAATTTTCAGAAATAGTACTTCAAGCAATAAACAGCATTTCTAATACTTCCTAGGAAGAAAACTATTATAAAGTTACTGACTGTGTCCAGTATACATTCGAAAAGCTAGGATTTTTATAACAATCTCACACCCAGCTGTTTGATCGCAAACTAGGTAGAGCCTGTACTATTGTAACCAGACTGCTGATAAACATACTTATATATTTCTTAATACATACAAATTATAGATAAATTACACCCAGACAACGAACAAATGATCGTGCTCATCACACTGTCGTGACTGCAGTAGCATGACAAGTCAAATATAAACCTATTAACTGGATCCCTATAGCTGTATGTAGCCGTTTTGACATAATTTCGGATTATTTAAAATTTAAATATGGTATGCCAAAATTTTAAATTCCTGTCTTCAAATATAATAAATACCTACGTGCAAAGAATCCTCTTCACGTATTTGGATACAGATATTTGAATTACATAATTTAGACTTTATATGGTAATTAATTTATAAACTTTCTCTTTTGCTCATTATACAATCACTGACGTCTGAGTAATGAATCGTACTTGAACGAAGGCCCGGCTGAACATTACGACGAAATATTATTTTGTCACAAATCCTTATAAGTATTCAATACTAGAATATCTCTTGTAGCTTAGAAGCAGTTTAAAATTAAATAGTAACAACAATTATTAGACTACCATGTGATTCCACTAAAGTCCGTAACTGAACATAAGCCACCGGACGTTTTCTATTTTTGGTTTTTGTTTTGATTAAGCCTAGTATGTCAACTTAGTCTACGTACCTACTGTAATACCTTATCTTTTCGGCTCTATATTTTAAAAATAAAACAGAAAGAAAATCTTCCTTTTATGGCGGGTAAGCTTACCTACAACTTTTTTTTCAGATTGTTGCATCTTCCGCTATGTATATGATAATTCTCGTGCAGTTTGATAAAAAATGAATGTACATCGTGTTAGAAAAAGACAGCACTAAACCTACAAACATAACAGCTTTTAATATTTTCATTTTATTTAATTCATCTTATTATGTCAATAAATAGTTTTTAAAGTCATAGAATAGTACATGTGTTTTATTTTAATGACGTACGTTTCCTTTTATTACCCAGATTTCCTTATTGTCCAAAAAGATAACACTTCGACTAAAAAAGAGCGCTTTTCAATGACAGAAATATTGACGCTTAAGTAAGAAGACTATTATAACTAAGATTTGCTATTGATTACAACGAATTTATAAACTTCATCAACCCTTGATGAAGTTTATAGATTCGTTAAGTCAATAGCAAATTTTCAGCATACATTAGTAAAGAAATAGTTTGTTTTCAATTACATTAATAGGGCTGCCTCTCTGGAAACATATTAAGGTAAATCTGTTATGAATGGAACGTATCGTTATATGATGTGTAATAAATACTATGTAGGTACCCATTAACAGTGTTAGATTCTGAATCACACGTTTCTCAAAAATATTATTTCAATAATCAGGTACATTGTGTCAAAACATATACGAATTTCGTGAGTAATTAAATAGTAGTAAGATGCTAAGCTTTAATAAAAACGTGACTTAATTCATAATGTAATCAGTGACTGGCTCTTTGTGGTGACAAACTAGTCATGATTGGTCGTGTAGGCATAGTATTAATGTTGGAATTTCTAAAAAAACTATTCTGATACTGTATTTGGCCATAGATAATACATAATACACTGAATCTGCAATGGCGTGGGTAATAATTTGCCAGCCTCAAAATATTACCTTTTATTACGGCAAAAGAGTAAAGCTAATTATAGTGTCTGATAAATATTATTTATTTTTAGTTTACTTTTATACAATCGGTAGTATTTTTTTTTTAAATCTTTTGCAAAACTTATTTTATGCGTATTAAACTCATAAAATACCTTTCCTACGGTAAAAGAGTAGAGGAAATTATAGTACCTGAGATATATTGCATTTAATGAAATGGTAGTATTTTATCACCTATACTTTAATTATTATTACCTATAATAATTTAATACCTTTCTACTAAAATTATGTAAAATATGAATAATTCCAAAATCACATACTGCACTATCTAAAGTATCAAATGTCTTATATGACAACTTTACTAAACATAAACTCATCTCATCACTCGTCAAATTGTGATATTTAGGGGAGATGTTCTTTTAGTCTGACAACCGGTTACAGATTTCGATATTCCATTTGCAGACAGCAAAGAACATTTTCCGCGGTTAGTGTAAATTTATGTTTTTAAGAATCCACTTCTAAGTACGGTGTGTACGTGGTAAATTATAAAATACAATTATAGTGTTGCTGCCGACTGAAGTTACTACTAACTTGTTTAAGCAATGGTACGTAATGAAACGCTTGATTAAATTGTTCTAAAAAAAACTTTTCAAAATTGTCCTTATTTTAAGATAATTATAAGTAAACTTTGTTTGTTAAAACGGTGTTTGTATTGTGATTGATGCCGGATACCGGCATGTGTGCAGTGTAGCCATTTTGAGCAACTGTAATGGCTGGCGGACGCCATGTCACTGTACTTATATTTTTGAACAAAATCACATGTTCTTGAATTTTCTGTAATCTAATATCAAGAACTGGTGTATTATTTCCTATTGCATTTTGTTTATTGTCAAGAAAGTTCTATTATCCATTTAGTACCTAATTATAATCGCAAAGGTTACCTTCACCTCGAAAGGAATATTCGTAAAACTCAATGTTTGTTATTAGAACCCGGGTATGTTAACAAATATAATAAATAGCCAGAACATTAATAATTTTAATGTAAAATCAAGTTATTTTTTTGAATAAAAGTTTAGCAACCAAAATTAAATATATTTAGAGTTCTTGAAATAAATATTGTTACTTTTTAGATGGAAGGTAACGTAGTACATCCACACCCGGGTGTGGTGCCGGGTGGTATTCCGGGTGTGGTACATGGTTTGGCGGTTCACGGGGCTGGCCCAGATGGTGAACATGCACCTCACGGCCCGCGTCGCCGGTACCAAAACCGACCTAAGCCTCCAAATAATTTGGAACGTTTACCACTTGATGAGGCTGCAAAGAGAGTAAGTAATTGTAATTAATGTATATTTTTATGTAACATACCTACATTTTATGATGACTAAATCTGTGGGTCTCACTGTATTTTTTTTATATTTTTTCTGTCCAACTTTAAAAAAAATAACACCAACCTCAATGTGTCCTATGTTATGGAATTAAAATAAATTATATTCTTGATTGCTTAATTTTCCACCCTGGTATGGTGGTATCGATTCTTCGAACTTGAAATGGACATAATGTGATTATGAATTTTGGGAGGGTATAAATATAATTACTAAACTAGCTATACTATACTAGCGATCCGCCCGGGCTTACACGGGTGCAACGTAGATACCACTACTACCACGCAGCGACGGCGACGGGCCGCGTTGACCCCGCATTTTAAATCTAATATCTACTGAGATATTTACTTTATTGATATGCTGTAAAAGGAAATTTTGATCTACATTAAATGCAGAACTTATCAAACGTATTTATTTGGAAAGAGAAGGAATAATACTGTATTGTTCCAAACAACTTAGTAATTAACCCAATATTTTTTTAAACATGTTTATTATGATGAATCTTTGAAATTCTCAGATTTTTCTATGCATGCATGCATGTATTATAAATTTAAACCTTACTCTTTAATCACTCTATTGGTGGTAACTGTATTAAAATCTGCTGATTAGTTTAAAAAATCTATGTGCACAAAAAAGAAAAGCAACTTTATTTTATACCAGGTAAAAATAATATATACATAATCATCATCAACAGCCTGTAATAGTCTAGTGCTGGACCTAGGCCTCCCCCTAGAAAGGTTTTTACATGTAATATATGTACAGGCACATTGGCAGAAAATTCCAATGATTTTGGATGCAGAATGATGTTCTGAATACACTATTTCAGTATTTGTCACTGTATATAATATAGTATATACAAATTATAGGTATACCTACCCTCCTAAATAAAATAAAAAAAGAATTTTTAGAGTAACTTTAAACGTCATGGGAGTTAAAAAAACTGTTTGCTACTTGAAAACCTTATTTTTTATGTTGGTTAGAAATAGGAAATATGAATGAATCTGAAATGGATTAAGTAATATTAATTTGCCTGAAAATTTGTTATTTGTCAGTAGGTAGATACTATTATAGTTGTTTATTGCAGGAAATGGAAGCTTTGCCATTGAAAACACCAGTGTCTGTCCTTCAAGAACTATTAGCTCGTCGTGGTACTGTACCAAAGTATGAACTAGTTCAAATCGAAGGAATGATTCATGAACCAACTTTCCGCTACCGCGTCACTGTTGCTGACCTTGTTGGTAAGTAATAGTAATTGGGTCTTGTAACATATTCATGTTTTCCACAATTTAATAACAAATGTGATTACAGCAATGGGCACTGGCCGTTCCAAAAAGGAGGCTAAGCACTCTGCTGCTAAGGCTCTTTTGGACAAATTGACTGGAGCGGCACCTGCTGATCAAAATACCAATGGCACTGTCCCTGAACCGTAAGTTTCAGAGATAGCATCATACTCTGATTTATAGGTTAACATTAAAAATAATCAGTGTAAACAGGCTTAGTTCTTGAGTATGTTTTTAATGTATTTTTAGGAGCACTGTGGTATCATCATTTGAAGATAAATTAATGGGAAATCCTGTTGGTTGGCTCCAAGAGTTGTGTATGTCGCGCTTTTGGCCACCACCTTCTTATCACGCTGAGAATGATGATAATGTAAATAGGCGTAAGTAAAAATCTTCACAGTACTGATTTCATGTTTTGATGATAGAAAATTAAAGTGTGCTTTTGCATTATTTAGGTCTTCCACATGAGCGTCAATTCACGATTGTGTGTACTCTATTAAAACGCCGCGAAGTAGGCACGGGCAAGTCTAAGAAACTTGCTAAGCGCCAAGCAGCTTATAAGATGTGGCAAGCTCTGCAGGATAATCCTCCAGAATCATTCCAACCTGAAGAAGAGGTAATGTGCTCTCAATTTGAAAAATCTGTTTAATGTATAGTTTTTAACAGTCTAATGATAAAAACATCTAGTCATTGAATGCCCAATTATTATTTACTGAATGATTAAACTCAGTAATAAAAAGCATATTTCAAATCGTCTTCTACCTCAGCGTGTTTTCTGTATGTAATGAAATAGTATACACTGTCACAGTTAATCTGAAATATTAGACATTCAGTAACAGTTAGAAGTTTTGGCGAAAGTTATAAATAATTTTACCATATTGATCTTACATTCTTGTCTCCAGAACAGAATTAACAAATTAGAATATCAACAGTCATACATTATCTGAGGTGCTATATCAATCCTTGATAGTTCGCACTTGGCCAGGTATTTTACTATCTTTCGGTCGGCTGCTGCAAGCATGATGGACAAAAGGGTTATCCGCGTTAAAATAATTTATACTATAATCTTCCGTGTTATGTTCTAGGGCGGAGTAGCAGCCCGTTATGCCGACCTGAAAGATAGTAAAATCTCCACTCTGACTACCAGTCACAGCCACAAGGTGTCGCAGTTTCACAAACATCTCAAACAGTCTGTCGGCCCTAACCTGGCCAAGTTGCAGGTACGCTGTTTGAATTATTATGCATGATTGTTATATTAAATGGATTTAGGAAGTCCTGTATTTTGGATGGCATGCTCATGAAATGTGTGTATATTTTGTTGTAGCTAATGAATATCTACAGTGTAAAATAAAGCATGTTTAAATGAAATCATGTTAACTTTTTAAACAGGTGACTCCCCTGAACAACAAGGACTTCAACTTTGTTCAGTTCTTGCAAGAGATAGCATCCGAGCAATCATTTGAAGTGACATATGTAGATATTGAAGAAAAGTCAATGACTGGGCGTTGTCAATGTCTTGTGCAGCTTTCTACTTTGCCAGTGGCTGTTTGTTATGGATCAGGACTCACCAGCAAGGATGCTCAGTCTTCTGCGGCCCAGAATGCTCTTGAGTACCTTAAGATCATGACTAAAAAGTGAATGTCTCATTATCTTGCGACATCAATTTCAATTGTAAGGTGCTCCACAGCATGCTTATGATCTTAACCAGTTTATTTTTGTTGTAAACTAATTAATGGTGCACAAATGATATTTGAGCTTGTGATTGATGTCGCCAGGTTTTGAGCCTATAATTATCTTTATTACCACTTCCCATTTGAATGTGGCATTATGCCTGTGTGCCAGCAGCACTTCGGGCTATGCTTTATAACTGGCATATTTGCAGTATCTTACTTGTGATTCTTTTCTTCATTACTTACATGATGTACTTCACCTCAAATATCCATGCATAGTTTTTACTATCCATTTTTTTTTATCATTTACATGATTTACTTCTTCACCTCAAATATTCATGCAGCTTATAGTTTTTACTATCCATTTTTTTCTTTATTATTTACATAATGTACTTCTTCACTCCAAATATCCATGCAGTTTATAGTTTTCACTATCCATTTTTATTTTCTTACACCGTCTAATCCCACAAGTGATCTCTCACTTGTACTATTACTGCCAATGTGCGAGGGTAAATGGCATAGCCCGTAAATTTAAATGAAACAAAGTATGGAGTGGTTACATAACAAAATACAAGCTATACTTTGCATAGAATTAGTGTAATTTTCCCAGCGTGGAAATTACTTAATAAAAAAAATTAAAAAATAAACATAAAAAAATAAAAAAACAAAAATAAAAAAAAAGTGTGGATATTTCCAGTTTAATATTCAGCATTATTTAGGCATGTTTTTGCATTCATATAAATAAAAAATGTATACTTATCAAACAAAAGTTGAATTCTTAGCTTTTAATGTGTAATATAATAATGGCATAGCCAGTCATATTTTTCCATTTCTGTTAAAACAAGTATATTCTTATTTATCATAAATTTAGTTAAGTGTCGTGTGTTAAGAAGCTATCTAACATGCTGAGCATTAAACGGAAAAAAAAATTCTCAGCTAGTAAAGTCTTGTTGACGAACTGCCCAACCTTTGCTTTGTAACAAGCTCCAATTTGCTATAAACTTGAACTTACGAACTTTTTACAAAATGCAAGGGTTGGAATTTGTGTGTGAATTGGGAGGCAGGATTGCAGAGAGCATTTATTTAAATTTGAACCAGTTGTCTAGGTTTTCTTTTGAATACAAGAAAGATAACTTTGCAGGGAAGCTGAGAACTACGTGCTAGAGTGAATAAATCACTGGAATTAGTGGTTGCGAAGTTAGGATCCCTTGCCTGTGAAAATGGGCATTATTTTAATGCAAAGTATAGAGGTTGTAACAATTTCTAACTGTACAGAGTCGTCGTCAGTGCTTGCTTTTCAGTTACCAGGCAAAGACGAGGATCCTGCACGCACCAAGTTTCTTTTAAATTGAATGGTGTGAGTTCAACCTGCCCATTGTAAAACATCGCACTGTTCAAGTTAGAAAAGACTACTTGAGTAAAGGATTGGAGTTCTGTTCAACCAAGACCAACTAAATAAAATTGTAATGTCCAATTGATGAGACATTAATGAAATAATGTTTATGTATTATTTTGTGTTTAGTGAGTCTTGGTTTTACTTATTCTTGTGATTAATTAATCTCAAGATTATGAATAGTAGTAAATTATAGATTATTGTCACTTTTTGGACGTTATCACACTTCTGACACTAAAGTTTTTTAAACATGTAGTAGAGTAACTTATTTTTTGCTATGAATTGTTTCTGCGCTAATTTTAATAAATTCGATGTTGCTTAAGTAAAATATTACTTGTTTTTTTTTCTCACTGCACAATATCATCTGTGTATTTGAAACCAGCGTAAATTGAGACTAGACGTTATCCTTACACCAATATGGCGATAAAAGAAAAACATATCCATTTCCAGTAGAGAATAACTGGCCAATATGACCGATCAGATTTAATACAATACTATTGTATAAACGATTTTTTTCTCGCTTTTAAAGCAGATGAACAGAATCCATCCTATTTTTGAGATTATTTTTTGTTGTAGTTATAATAACATAATATTTCGTTTTATTCATTTCTTTCTACTGCATTCATAAAATGTTTAATTCTGCGTGTGTTATAATAATTTAATGTGACATTGTTATACTAAATAACTTGCCATTTCCATAATTTAACATTACTCCTATTTCCCTTGGTCACGCCATAACTTGAGAACGACTTGACTGCTATCATTCATATGTTTTTTGAAAGTTCTCTAATAAAGTATTTCATTCATATGTTTTTTGAAAGTGCTCTTATAAAGTATTAACTAACTTTAGAAAGTAGAAAGTTCTTACTGCAAGAAAAATTCAGAAAATTAGGTAAAGCTGTGGGCAACAACTAGTGTAACTAAAATTTGTCTAGTCTCAATCCCTACATCACATCACATAATGTAAAGAATTTTAACTGTGGATGGTAGCGATCCTAATTCAAATTCCTAGATAAATAAATTTATCAAATACTGCAAGTTAAATGAAAGTAAATAATATGTACTTTATTGTAGTTGTGTGTCCACCGGTGTGTTTAAGTAACGTTCCAGAAAGGTCACAGAAAAATAAATAAGATCCAGACAAATATATTATTTTAAAAAGTGACAACCCTAACGAGAAAATATCCGGTGTAACTAAAATGGGCTGTAGTTTCTAGACTCCCACACGATTGTGACAGGGTGATGACCAGCCCTTAATTTTGTTGCTTCTGAGAAAAATAATAAAAACTATTTTTTTTAAATCATTTATCTCTAGTCATAAGCAAGATACGAGGTTCGTGACTGCTTTAAAATATGTAGCATTTAATGTTAGTTCTAATCGCATAAAATTAAAATATTTTAGTAAAGTAGTTTTTTTTTAACTATGAGTATATCGAGCAAAATTTTTTATGATTTTTTTTCTGAGTTGACTAATCATACTTATTGCGCCGGAGTTTTACTCTAATGTTCAAAATGATAAGTTTTACATGTTTTTGTGATAAAACGAGGATGTCCGAAAAATGGGTTCTATAATACATAGTGCGTAGGTATAAAATTAAACTTGAAAAATTAAGCAGATCAATAAAATTAACTGGCAAATCTATGTGATTAATAACAGTATCTACCTACCTACTTAGATAGATCCCAAACTAGCTTCATAGCTGTAACTTTTTTTGTAGATAGGTACAGAAGTAAAGTTTTACTATTACATACTGCATATTTAAAGATATACTAGTGTTTAACTATTATATTAAAAAATATTTCTGATTTTTGCAATTTGTTTTTATTCTAAAATCATAAATGAAAATTGAGTTTGTGTTAATTTTCCCATCATTTTCATTTCCATTTTTTTAGTTTACTCTTATGCGTGAACTTAAACTTCGTCAACTGTGTTTGCCTTGACGTACCCCCTATATTAATATCTGATGGGATATAGCACTTTAAATTATTTCTACGTAATACCGTAAAAGATTTTGCTGGACTTAATGACAAAGAAAAGTTTCGTTCTTCCGAACGCTCTGGTTCACCTAACGTCCAAGTTTCAATCTCTCTGGAAGGTGTTAAATGTGGGGTACAACCATCTTCAAATATACTTTCATCGCAATTAAATTCTGTGTCTACAGGGATTCCAATCTGCGATTCGTCAAATCGTTTAGAAGTATTTGTTACGTCTGGATCCTCAGCATCATAATGATTTTGTAAATCTGTATTAAAATCACAAAACTGTGGAGGTGGCGTATAAATTTCCTTGCTATCAGTATCAAATGTAAACTGCAAAAGAGTTTTTGGATCAAACATTGATTGATCGAAATTGTGATCTATATCTGGTTCTAAACTAATTTCGGCGGGTATGTTAAGTGGTTCTAAATCTATATCAGTTATAGATTCATACGATCTCCAATCATTTATATAATCCCCTTTGAACTGAATGTTATTACATTGAGTTTCTTCAATTTTTTTCCAAATTAATTCATTGCTTACTAGTTTCGTAGGCATTGATATTTGTTGATTTTGTTTACGGCTGTGAATCATTGTTTCTGGTACGGTCTCTTGGAGGTCCTCAATCTTACTAATTTTAAATGGTTTTTTCGATTTTGGTGGAGTTCTTTTGTTAGTAGTATTTTTATTTGGTGCTGAATAAACTGGTGGTTGATCTTTATTAGTTTCTTTTCTGTAAAGAAAATATAAAAGTTAGTGTTTCAGAACCTTAAAAATTGGTAGATAAAGGTACTTTCAAGTATAAGTAACCTACTCAAAGATTTTACTGTATTTTTGTAATATATTATGGACTTTATTTGGTGGAGTATTTACTATGTTGTTATTTTCTTTCCCTTGCGTCCCGTTCATAGCCATTCCTGACAAATGCTTGACACTATTAAGATAATCAGAGTCGTAGTTTATTTTGTTGTTAACAGTGTTGACAGGTTCCATACTTTCTCTTACGTTAGGGTGTAAATATTCGGAAATACCTTGAATACTATTCATCTCTTTGCAATTCGAATAACTTCCGTCATAAAACATATTTTTTGTATGTTCTGCAGCTCTATTGCTGGAGACAAGTACTTGATGCCCTGTTTTATTTTTTTCGTCTTTTTTTTGTAAGTCCCAATTAACTGCTGGTTGTATACACTGGATTGTACATTGGTTATCATCACTGCCGTTTTGTACATTATCATGGGTTGACATTGGAGGTGGATTATTTTCGAGTTTCTTAATATTGTCTGATTTTATGAGATCTGACTCTGCACTATAATTTTGTTGACACCGACTAGCAGAAACTATTGCCGTAATTTTTAAATCCATTTTAATTTCCTTTATTATTTGGATATTACAGTCGGCAATTTCTGTTGTCCCTATATCAATTTGTCTCGTTGATAAATAATACTTCTTCACATATTCATTTCTGTTCCTATTGCAATACTCGTTACTTGAGCAATAGTTCAATAACTTAGGATGATCGTAATTATTGGTACAAACTGGTTCAGAGATAATTTGTTGGTCATTATTGTTTGATACTGTTGTCGCATTTATTATTTGGCATCTGTCCAAATAAGTCAAATGTTTTGGTATTATAGCACTTTTGTAATCATCAGTCATCAATGAAAGGGTCTTATTGAACTCGTAACTTTCATGACAACGTTTATCTGATACCTCCTCTATGCCTTGACTGTTTTGTTGTATGGTTTTTCCACCAGTCGAATCAATTAGAGTAAATTCATAAGGTTCATAAGTAACAGGCATTACACTGAGATTATAGCCTTCTATAATTGATATTTTTTTGGGACTGATATCAGTCGTGTTAGTACTTTTTCGTTTGAATGGCAAAATGTCACTTGGTATTTCTTCAATTTTCACGCTATCCCTCTTAGTGGGTAAAACCATTTCTTTGTCTAATAAAGTAATATTATCTCTGTTTGTCTCTGCTTCATTTTTATTATAGTCAACATGAATGTTATCAGAGTTTGATTCATATGCATCGTGTAAATTATTAGGCTTTTGGAAAGTTTCATTTAAAACGCGTGATATATTTGAGTTATTTTGGTTATTATGATAAATATTTCTTATGTTTACGGCGTCTGATTGCACGAGTACAGGACTTAGTACATCAGCAATTTGCCGAGTTGTATTATAACCAGTGCCAATATTTGATGGAACTTTCATGACTAATTTCTGAGGACTTGAGTTTACTTCAGACTCTTTAATGTTTTTTTGTCCATCTAATATTTCTTTAATTTCATAATGAGGATAAAGTTTTTGTGTAGATAAGTTATTCACGCTGTTAGATACAGCAATTTCAATTTCATTTGAATATTCTTTTTTATCTGATACAGCCTTATCTTCGTTCACTAATAATGACGGCAAATTAGTATCATGTATTTTAGTTTCAGATTCTGTTTTTAGTATAAACTTATTAATATAACTCTTAACGGTATCCGAAAATCCATGATAGCTACTAGTTTCTACAGTTTCATCATTGTCATCGCTCACGTTTTTTTCTAACATATCAATAAAAGTGTAATTTGATTTAGCAGGTAATGCCTTTCGGGTTTTAAGTTTATGCTGATAAGGTATTTTATTAATTGGTTCGCACTTAAATGCCGATGAGTGTTGAGAATTTTCAGTCTCTGAAATATTAGCAAGATGTTTTAAATTTGATTTTTTTTTGTAAATTTTCCTTTTAGACATTTCATTTTCAATTTCAGTTATTATATTATTAATTTTTTCATCATTATCTATAAAATTATCACTGTCAATATCCAAAACTAAATTCATATCTTTGCTTATGTTATTGTATTCAGCATTTATTTTATTCTGGCTTACAATTTCTGTGCTTAGAATGTCATTATGGGTTACACCTTCATTATTCTTAGAATTCAAATTACAATTTTCTTTAATGACTTGAGATTCAGTTTCAAACTTTTTTTTTAAGTATTCAAAGTTCTTTATGACAGCGTTTTCTCTTTTTTTCTTTCCCTTAGACTGATTTTTATCGGCGTCCGTACTATTATTTCTTTTGCGTTTTCTAAGTGACTCATTTTCTTTTTCTACCGTATCATTCATAAATATCTCATTAATTGTGTAGTTTGCATTAGGTGGCCCAAAGAATTTGTTCAAATCTTTAAATATATACTCTGATTGCACGTCAAGGCCAACTGAAAAGGTACAGTCAAAAGTTTAGTGGTTTAATAAATACTAAATACATAACTGATTTAAAATGTGATATACTCACCAAAAGTGCTACTAACGCAGTGAGCAAAGATTTTATGTTCACAATTATGTTGCCGTCTTATTACATGTGTCATTGTACCATCGAAAACTCCTAACAAATCAGTATCCCTGTGATACGAACGAGTATTATTAATTATTTACAGAGCGTTCAATCAATTATAATTATAAAGAAATACGCACTTGAATGAGGCAAGCAGTAAAAGATGATTGCAGGAATCGCCCACAACAATATAGCATTTATGAATCCGTCCGGCAGTTAAATGTTCTACGTTTTCTGCTAAAAAGCTTTGATTTTGCAGCTTTAGCTGTATCGTAACACTGCTCTCATCTATTGGTGTAATAAACAGTTGATACTTTGGAAGTAAACTTATTTGTCTTCGGAGAACGTTACCCGCTGGTGGACCTTTGTTCATTATCTAAAATTTATAATGAATAATGGTTTTGTGTAGTTTTAGAAATAGAACTGCTTTCCATACAGACTGTAGGAAAAGTACCGGAACAGCAGAATAATTCACTAGAGATGCATTTTTCGGAAATACGTTAAAAACAAAAGTTACAGGCACGTTCCCTGGCTATCCATTGGTGACCTTGAAATTGACCTTGATCGCAACGTTGAAGGTTATCTCAAGGATCAAGGGCAATTTTCTAATGGGATTGCCATATTTTGAGCGCGGAATTGAAAAGTGAGGAAAAAATCACAATCGAATATGACCTTATGCATGCAATTTTTGGCTTCTAAAGGTCACCAATCCAAGGTCAAACTCATACGTTATATATTATATTATATTAAAAAAATATGACCGTGACCTTAAAAGGACCTTGAACTTCAGATCAGAGTCTACCCATTCATATTCTAAGGTAATTCTCCACTGAATAGCCAGGAAAAACCCTGAATCTTGTAGCTTTTCTCTTGGCTCAAGAGAATAAATAATTGCCTATGGTTTTGTAAGTTGGACCTTGGATTGGTGACCTTTAGAGGTCAATATTTGCGTACTCAAGGTCATATTTTTTATTTTATTTTATTTTTTATTTTATTATATTTGGGGAGCTTACGGCTAAATTTACAAAATACATATTATGTTAATTATCTAGATGCCATTTACAAGCTTCCACATGTAGACAGAAAACAGTGCTGGTATCTATAATAATACATACTAAATAGACTTACATATACATAGATAGTTACAACAGTTTAGGATCTAAAGATATAACATTTTTGAGGTTTCTGGTGCTACTGCAGAATAGATCTATGAGTTCACTGTGGTTTAGTCTATTAAAAGATCTAGAAACCCTGGGTATGTAGCTGTTATACCGATAATTACTGTGGCAAAATGGAACATGGAGTAGACTACTGGAACGCAAATTTCTGGTGGGCACATTAAGTTTAATATTGCAAAGGACATCAGGACAGTCTAACCTACTTTGAGCTATATTTAAGAGGAGACAGATATCAGCTATTTTCCTACGGAGAGAAAGAGGCAAAAGGTGTAGTTTACTGCATTGCTGTTCGTAATCGAGATGAGGTAGTTTGAATTTAAAACCTAGGTATCTGATAAACCGTTTTTGGATTTTCTCTATGTTATTACTGTAGACATTATAACAGGGATTCCAAATTTGGCTTGAAAACTCGAGATGGCTGCGTACATAGGCACAGTAGAGAATTTTTATTGTTTTCATATGCTTAAAAGGTCTGGAAACGCGAATTATGAAACCAAGTGCTTTGTAAGCTTTGTCAATAATATGTTCGATGTGCCGGTCAAACAGCAATTTACCGTCGTGTAAAACACCCAGGTCCCTAATCACACTAGTCGCCTGAAGACTACAACCTTTTAATTTGTATGAGAAGATAAAAATGTTGCGTTTCCGTGTAAAGGTGATAGAAAAGCATTTAGATACGTTTAAGTCCAATTTGTTACGTTCACAATACATGTCTAATCTATCTAAATCTTCCTGAAGAAGTAACGCATCTCCAACATTATTAATAATACGGAATATCTTCATGTCATCAGCAAACAATAGAAATTTAGAATTTAAAAAACAGGAAGCAATGTCGTTGATAAATAAAATAAATAGAAGTGGTCCTAATAACGATCCTTGCGGAACACCCGACGGGATATCTACCCAGTTAGAAGAACACCCATCTAGAACAACAGCTTGCTTTCTATTAGTCAGATATGATGCAAACCATTGAATAAGATTGCCACCTATGCCCAAACCTGCCATTTTGTATAATAATATTCTGTGATCTATTCTATCAAATGCTTTAGTATAATCTGTATATATTGCATCTATTTGATTATTATTATCCATATTATTACTTAAATATTCATTAAAGAAAACTAAATTGGTCGTGGTTGATCTACCTTTGATAAAACCGTGTTGCTCAAGAATAAGTTCATTTTTTAAGCATTCGAATGTTTGATCAAAAACTAATCGCTCAAAGATTTTAGCTAGATGACAGAGCTTAGAAATAGGCCTGTAGTTTACAATATCATTTTTCGAACCTTTCTTATGTATTGGGGTAACGAAAGCGGCTTTCCATATCTTAGGCATTACTCCTTCTTTCATAGAACGCTGAAAAATTATGGAAACTGGTACCGTCAGCTCTTTACTACATTTTACCAAAAATAATGCGGGAAGAGTGTCGGGCCCAGCTGACTTATTATGGTCTAGAGACTTCAGTAGTTCATGTATACGCTGAGCACTCAGTTTAACAGTTGATATGTCACACTTAGAGTTTGCTACTTCAGTGTTGTGGTAAGACTGAGGTTGGTTATTACTGCCTAAAAAGACGGAGCTAAAATATGAACTGATTAGCTGGCAGATACCTTCAGCCGAGTTGCTTGTGGTGGACAGATAGTTCATGGTCGACGGGTAAGAGCTACAACGGCGGATATTTTTTATGTATGACCAAAACTGTTTAGGATTTTTTAAAATAGAATTTTCAACAGACACTATGTATTCCTTATAACACTTGTTCTCAGTTTTTTTAACCCTATCGCGAAGTAGTCGAAAAGAATAATCATCGGACAGATTACCATATGTTTTAAACTTTTTAAAGTATTTGAATTTTTCTTTAATCATTTTGATAAGCGATGGTTTATACAATGGGGGATATTTATGATAAAGCGTGGTACGTGTAGGGACAAAATTATCCCTTATTTTATATACTATACCATAGAAAATTTCTACAGCTTCCTCGACTGACAAAGCATTTGCCAATATTGACCAATCGGTTTGAGAAAAGTGATTACAAATTTTATCATAATCGGCTCGATTATACATATAAATATTTCGTTTAGGGATTGCTAAGCCATCCAATTCCAACAACGATGACTTAATAATGAGAGATTTATGGTAGGAATCTTCAGGCACTAAGGGATCAGGGCAGGACAGAATATTGTTACTCAAAACAAGGTCCAATATACCTCCAGCACTGTTTTTACAATAATTAAATTGTTTCAAATCGCAGTCGTAAAATGTGTTAATTATGTTATTAGCGAGCAAATTTTTAGCATTTGAAGGCTGAAGGCCTTGATCTGTTGGAATCCATTGAATGTTGCTCATATTAAAATCACCCATTATTAAGAATTCGTCTTCCTTAAAATTGTCAATAATATTGGTTAAGTTACGCAGAAAATAATCTAATTGAGTACTAAACGTGTTACCTTTGTTTTGATTACATAAGTACAAGGTGCAGATGTGAAGCTTAATTGACTTTTTAACATTAGGATTACGTAATGTTAATGTGACCCATATGTCCTCAGCTGAGGAATTCCAATCAATTCTGTGAGTGCATTTATACTCCCGACGTACCGCAATCAAAACCCCGCCACCTTTAGACTGCTGTGTTAGGTCGTAATCCCTATCGCGACGATATACTAAGTACCTTTCATCAAAAAGTTCACTATCGGCAATGCTATTTGATAACCACGTCTCAGTTAACGAAATGACGTCATAATTGCTCATACACAGTTTACGCAAAAAAACATCTGTCTTTGTTCGGAGTCCTCTGCAATTCTGATAATAAATATTAACCATTTATAAAGCAATATTTACCGCAAAATGAACCACCAAATAACACATACTCATTACAATTCCCTACAGCCACACTTAAGAAATATACGTTCCATACCCTGATATTATGAATCCTACCATACATTATACGTGTGCACAACAACAACGTTAACACTTTAATTACAATATATATGGGTATTTTGCACAAAAATATGTAAGAAATAGATAGACTGCCACAGTAAAAAAGTAAGGCCATAAGTAACACTAAACAAGTCTTAGTTTTACTATAAATAAGAATAAACACTATTAATAATTTCGTATAAGTGGGTATCAAAATAAAAACATTGAATAAAAAGCTAAGGCACCGCGTACATAAGATAAGTTTATAACGCATATACAATTGTATTTTTTTCCTCTCTTCAATTCCGGACTCAATATGCAATCCCATTGGAAAATTGCCCTTTTCGATAGCCAGGGAAAATTCCTGTAACTTTTGTGCTTAACATATTTCCGAAAAATGCATCCCTAGCGAATTATTCTGCTGTTCCGTACTTTTCTAACACCCGGTATACTAGATAGGTTTACTATACTAGGTTAACAAAGAATGCTTATTAATTGACATAGTCTTTTGTCTGTAATTGTTGTTTTAATATGAAATGTTTAGTCATCAAAGACTCACCCGTTCTAGATCTCTTGGATGACTTTCTTCAAGCAACATAAAATTGACTTTGCCAGCTGTGGCTAAAAGCATGCTAAATGTAGGACCAATGCCCTTCAATTGTTTGCTCACAAACGGAGAGTTCTCCCAAAGATGTGCTGCTATACATTTAGCAAGTACAATAGAGTTGAGCACAACTGAATAAAATTTCGGTTGACGACATACTAAATCTGGACGGGTCACGTATGCTACTAAACCTGTTATTTGTAAAGAAAACTTTGTATTTTTAAATTAACACTAAGTTAATAAAATTAAAAGTCGTAATGACTCATTATTATGGTACATATTAAAATTAGTGAGTAACATTACTTTTAATAACTAGGCGGAATAGCATATTAATTTTGTTTAGGGTTTAGAAAAGGTATGTAAGTTTTTGGAAAACTCATTTTATAGCACGGCCCTTATTCTCCGTAAAATAATATTCAATTAAAAAACAACCTCTATTTCTCGCTAAGAGATTTGGCATTTCTATTGTGGGTTTTTTTTCGTATAGAGGGCAAACGAGCTGATGGGTCACCTGGAGGTAAGTGACTACCTACCCCACATACATAGAGATAATATATAGATAGAGGATAATATATAATATAGAGAATCAAGCTACGATCCGGGGACGTTGATAGAAAGAGAAAAAGACGGCGATTTACATGCGTCTCTCTCGCACCTCTTCGGTGATTGGTTGGTCCGAGGTGGTTGCGTCTCCTTTCTCTTTCCACCGATGTCGTTATTCCATTTAAAGGCAATCCAATACCTTTTACCCTCTATCGTTCGCCCCAGCGGAAAAAGTTCAAATTTCATTATTTGAGTTTAACGGTGTATGACGTCGTGTAATTGTGTATGGAACATATATTGAGAAAGCTACAAATAACAATTACATCACTTTTTCACTTGTTTTTACATTAATATATAGCATAATATTGTCATCGCCCGTTTTAATTAAGTTTTTTTTTTTTTCATTCATTTTTCATAATGAAACAGGCTGTTAAGAAAGACTAATTCCGTCATGCGTTTTCTGCTTAGACGACTTTTTTCTTGATTCTCATATTTTCAGATACCATATATTTGACCTATAAATCTATGCCTAATAGTCAAATCTATAAAATTCATTATTATTTTAAGTTTTTGACCGCTTAATGATAAAGAAGTTAAACCAATTTAAACCTATCCGTTTTGTACGCAACGGTACAAAATTACTACATAAAATTTTAGAATTTTACCAAAATATACCGTACGGGTTATGTACCAATTGCGGCGATTGTCAGTATTTTAATTGTATTTCGTTAATTATTGAGTGTAAAAAAATGCAATTTTACATGTGAATAGTTGAATTAATTCACTAATTATTGGAATAGGTTTTATTACGCATTTCCTTTAGGATCTCGTGCAATAAGACTGCATGTTAAACATTGGTCCAGTCCAGATACTTACAAGGTATGTATAAACGTTATAACTAGACCCTAGCCCTAGCTTATGCACTAGTTATAACGTTGGTACTTAGTAGTACTAGGACCTGATAATCTTATTGGATGTTTATATTCATCTTCTGAATGATATGGTTTTTTTTTAAATCCGTTTTTACAAACAGTATAAACAAATTATAAACAACGCATGAAAAAATCTACAGTTCTTTAGAAAAGTGTTTAATATGAAATCAAGCAAATGGCCAAACGTTGTCGCAGCGGAAACTTGAATATCTTAGCAGTTTATTGACACACAAATTTCATTTAGACATACACAATTACCTCACGTCATACACTACAAAAAAATGGTATCATAAATTAAAAAAATGGTAATCAATCATCAATAGTAAAAAAAGAATAATTAAAAAAATGGTATCAAAAATTAGTATTTTTGATACCATTTTTTTCTTCTACGTCTATAGGATAAAAAAGTGCCACTAAGACAACGTTGTCCCTGCGGAAACAGTTTTTCGTGAATACCTCCCCAATGGTTGAATGCACAAATTTTTACTGACCATACACGTCATACACTAACTATCTGTTAAACTCTAACGGCAACGCACACCCTCTATCTGTATTCTCTCTATGCACTCATAACCAATTGCACATTACTGCTGGATAGGTACTGACATTTACAAACTCTATCCGCTATCCTCATAATTTTCATAGCCTCCTGGTTTAGTGATGGGTCAGGGATTGCAAGACATCCGAGAACAGCTTGAATTACACTGTAAAAAAGGTTAATATGAGGGTTAACTGATAAATAGTTCATGAAATAAGAAAAATGGATATCCGTAGCTAGAACAACATTACAATTTATTATTAAAGTGACATTACAATCGCCATAAACATTGTCATTACCGCCATTATGTGTGATATCTTTTGTCGTCATTGTATATAGAGTCGTCATGGTATAGTCCGTGTGGTGACGGATTAAGAATACGGAATGTCACCACCCCTAATCAACCCGTGGGTGTCGTAAGACCCGACTAAGGGAGCAAACGCTACGCAGGACAACAGCACTGCAAAGAGAAGGAAAACTTGAAACAAACCCTATATCAACCCGTCTGGCCAGCGTGGTATAGGAGGCCAAAACTTCCTTTCCTTGGAGAGGCCTATGTCCAGCAGTGGACTGTGATGATAATGATGTATATTTACAGCTGTCCACTATAAATCAACACCATTTTAGTGTAATGTGAAAAGGGTTATTAACTGTACTTTGAAGTAAGATTGCTACAAATATATAAATATATATATATTTTTATATTTATTCTTTCAAAGTGTAAACATATTAATAAGATAATTTTAATACACATAGCATTTCCTAAGCCACGAAGGTTTATAATGAATGCTAAGCTGCTGGATAATCTAATTTTGAATAGCTTAACCTTTATAGCATAAAGCAGAAAGAAATAGATATATATATACAAAAAAAAATGTTCAACTTGAATATGGTGCCCCTTTAATACAATTTTTAACTATAAGGTAGATATATAGGGGAAGTAGGTGGAACGGTTTTAAGAAACTTGGGAGCGATTTCTTCTGGCACGCCGTCATCGCGGCGGTAAGACCCATTATGGAGGATTGGCTCGAGAGGCGTCACGGGACCCTCTCATACCGACTGACGCAGGTGATCACTGGGAAAGGCTGTTTCGGGGATCACCTGTGTCTGATCCGCAAGGAGCCAACGCCTGAGTGCCACCACTGCGATGGCCAGACCGTGGATACAGCTCTTCACACGCTGGCAGAGTGCCCGGCGTGGATTGAGCAGAGGCGAGACCTCGTGGCGGCCATCGGAGTGGGAGTTCTCTCGCTCGATAGCCTGATTGCGGCTATCGTGCGGAGCGAGAGTGTGTGGAACTCTGCCGTCTCCTTCTGCGAGCAAGTTATGCTCGCGAAGGAGACGGCGGAGCGGGACCGCGACAGGTTTAGAACTCTCCCGGCCCGCCAGGCCCGGGAACGGGCCAGGTACCGCAGGCGACTCAGGCGCCGTAGGTCGCAGAACGACCTCCGTCCTCCATAAGCGCAGGCCTGGGGGTGACAGGTGAGGCCATCTGTCACCCTAGAAGAACCAGGCCGGGGTGGCGGCGAGCGCGCTGGCTTCCAGGGAGCAGATTGAACATGGGGTTCCGACACGGGGGGGGGGGGGGTCGTCTACTCGTCTTTAGATGGTCTGAGGTATGTCGGGGCACCAGAGACTTCCTTTCTAGGGTATACCTGGTTCCCCGGCTATTAGTAACCGAGACGGCGTGTGGTTTTAGTCGGTTCGAGTCCGACATGCCACCGATAGGTGGTATCCGAGGGGATTTCCGCACGTAGAAAAAAAAAAAGGTGGTATCCAAGGGAATTTCCGCACGAAAAAAAGGAGCGATTTCTTAAAAAAAAATCGAGCAGATTTTACCAAACTTTTCCTTCTTACTAGATTTTAATCTAGTAAATTTACTTACTAAAAAACAAAGAAAACTTACCAATTAAGCTTCATTTGCCTGGTACTAATCTTCCCTTTCATAGGGAAACGTATAGTGGCTGCAGAGTGATTTCTATTCAGCGCATTTAGGCATCGTCGTTCGTCTATTCGTAAGTGCATATCGGACAGTTCATGGCTCTCGCATATTATTGCTAGAAGACCTTCTAATGATTCTGTGCCTTCAATCTGTCATAGAAAATATACAAATAAGTAGGTAAGTAATTAAAAATATTGATGGACCTGTTTGTTCTTCAAGTGGTATTCTCGAGTTTAGAAAGATTACTTATTTCACGATTTATACAATGTACCTATAAAAAGTTCAATTTACTTATATTGGTTTCATTAGACCAGTCGTAGGTCAGAATACTAACTAAACATTACAGAGTAATACAATTTGAAAATATAGCACAATAAAAAAAATCGATCATGTACCTTACTGAATTTCTATGTTTGGTGACAATCCCCATTCTTAATTTAGATTCCTTAATTAGAAATATTATTATACAGATACAGTAGGTTTAGTTTAATATCACTTAAAGTATTACAGTAAAATTGTGATCATAAATAAAAGGATTGCAAAACCACCTCGTATAGTCTTTATCAGATTCGGTTGGTTTTAAATAGAGTGCCATTGTTAATCCTTCCAATGGTCTTTGCCAAAGTCAGATACATTTTCAGGGGGACGAAAAGTCACCAGTTACCGCAGGCGACTCAGGCGCCGGAGGTCGCAGAACGACCTCCGTCCTCCATAAGCGCAGGCTTGGGGGTGACAGGTGAGGCCATCTTTTTTTTTATGGGACTAATCCCACCCACACGCCCACCACTGTAACTCCTGTACACCAGGATCCACAGCAGTGACCCACGAACACACCGAGTTATGACACTCGGGAAGTCCCAGGAAGAAATTAAACTGTCTTGGAACCCGCAACGAAATTAATCAGAAGAAAATTGGAGGAGTTGGAAATACAGTAAATCCACTTCCCTCCTTAGCAAAGCGGGAGACAAAATGAAGTAAAATAGGCATACACCCTTTTAAACAGGGAAGCACCACGGCCACAAAATATTACGGGTCCTACATGAGCTATATTTGATTTCTATAATATGTATGGCAGAATCGCCTAAACGCACGGAAATTCACCCTAGTTGACACAAGATCCCCATAGTATACCGCCCCAGATGTCACCTGCAAGCTATTCAGCATTATATTACGTTCATTATACCAAAGACTACATTCCCAGAGGATATGATGAGCAGACTGTTCATAATGAGAGTTAGGTGTTGAGCATTGACACAATGGTGACTCGACTAATTTAAATGAATACAACTTGCTCTTAAAGTTACCATGACCCGTAAGAAATTGAGCGACACAGTGATCCACCTCAAGCCATGTCCTCGACAACCGTTCGCGAACAGATGGAAAAAATTGGTAAAGATGGCGCCCCTTGGATGATTCGTCCCAGCGTTGCTGCCATTCGTCTATGAGGTCATTATAGACATCGGACTGCTGTTGAAGCAATCTTGTAATTTTACCGCGATCCCGCGCGCCCAAGAAATCGCATTCCATGTTTTGTCTTGAATAGTACATGGCTGCACGTCTCTGCACCTCGAGATCGACCGGAAGGACACCTGCCAACACCGGCAAAGCCTCAGTGCTAACCGTCCTATATGCCTTGCACAAAAATATCAGTGCCAGTCGTTGGCCTTGTAACAGTTTGCGACGGACAGCGCCTACGGTCGCCCTATCGGCCCATACAGGTGCACCATAGCACATAGAACCTAAATAAGTAGCTCCGTATATGATCTTTAATGTATTAAATGATAGACCCCATGTCGCAGTTGATATCCTTGTCAATGCACAGAAACTCTTTTTAGACTTTTCATTAACTATTTTAATATGTTCGATAAATGAAAAGTTTCTTTCTAAAACTAATCCTAGATAACACACTGTGGTTTTATTTTTTACAGTTACATTGTCAAATCTAATGCTCGGCGGTGATTTGAGGTTACCTTTTAAAAGTAACTGGAAGGTTTTGTTGGGTGCAAAAGTTAAGCGATTACGTTCACCCCATTGAGATATCAAGTTCAAACATCTATTGGCTAATCTCTCAAGCCCCGCCCTAGTATCAGATTCCACCAGTAATAAGCCGTCATCAGCATACGCGTTCAGAGTACATCCGGATGGTATTGGCATCGTAAGAAAATCGTCGAAGCCGATATTCCACAAGTATGGACCTAGCACCGATCCCTGAGGACATCCCATTGTAAGCGCCTTCGACACAGAATGATGACCAAGTCTTAGTTTAGTTGTACCTTGTGAAAAGTACGAAGAGATAAGGGAATAAATATTTTTAAAACACCCCCGTGATTTTAATTTCAGCAACAGCATGGGCCACCATGCGTTGTCGAAGGCGCCAGATATATCTAAGAAAATAGCCAGCACGTATTGAAATTTTGACTCTGTGACAAACTTTCTAACCGATATAACAGCGTCAGTTGTCGATTTACCCAACGTAAATCCAAATTGTCTATCATGAAATTTGACTCCACCTGGCAGAAGCCGGGGCACTACAAGACGTTCTAAAAGCTTTCCTAACGATGGTAACAATGTGATTGGTCGGTAGGATTTAGGATCATCCGGTGGCTTGTCGCCACTTTTTGGTATTATACGAATATTACCGCACCGCCATATACGAGGAAATATTCCTTCAGCAATGCAACGTTTAAAGACAGTGAAAATCGTGTCACCCGAAAGTTTACAAGCTTCTTTTATCATTTTGTTAGATATTTTATCATCACCCGAAGCCTTGTTTAGCGGCAAGGATCTAATGATACCGAGAAATTCGTCTGAAGATGGTAAATCAGACATTGGAGACAGTGGTGGTTCGATGGCCCAGTGCCTGATCTGTCGGTGATGATCAGTGTCGTTTTCCGGTCGATCGTCAGGTACGAGTGAGTCTAAAAGATATTCTGCTGTTTGTTCTACTCCTGTGGTATATCTGTTATTAATTTTGATGTTCTGTATGTATGCGTGGTCGATTGATCTATTTGCCTTAAATTCGTGATACAAAGGTGACCACGGGCCCTCTCTATCGAGTTTATTAACAAGTTTCTGAATTAAGTTTCCCTTGGATTTTTCCACAGCAGCTCTGTAGTGGGACCTGGCAACTCTAAGAGCAATGAGAACATTCATATATGAATATGTTTATTCATTAAATTATATAATTGAAATATAACACAAAACACTTAAAGACCTTAATTTAAAATATTTTAAATTATTATGTTTTTTCATGACTAATATCTAAGTCTGAAATATTCTATCAAAATTCTTTTTATATCACTCGATAACTTCGAATTCAACATGTCCAGTAAACCTAGCATACGGTAAAAATCAACCTAGTGAAGTAATACCCAATATACCTTTAAATAAAGAAGGCCTTAGGAAGCCAGTAAATAAAGAATAAAGCCGCTGTTAGTTTACTTCTAGGAATGAGTTTAGATAGTTATTTTAAAATTGTAATGTACACTTGCTTAATATCGTATAACGTCATTAAAATATACGTTAGTAAATTAATATACTATGCATTTAAACTTTGTTACTAATTAGTCTTGTCAAAAATATTACCTATATATGAAGGTACGTCATTATTATTTAATCAAGTCCAAGAGCGCTTATCGACCTTTGTAATAGGGTCAATAAAAGAACAGGTAATGCTTATGCGATGATACTTCAATTATTACATGTTGGTGAAGATACTATGTCTATTAATACCTTTAAAACTGATTCTTTGATTTGACCTCTTAGATTAGTTATATTTGGGCAAGACGATAACCATCTTCGGCTTATTTTAAGATAACCTATCTAAGTGAAGGAAAGAATTTTAGCTTTTTTACCCTCATCAATAGCTTCATAGTTTCTACATCCAAATAAAAAATAGACATTAGGCGTCCAGCTTCAGTAGATTCTATACAACTAGCTTCGTCCATGGTTATGAGGCCTGAAGAAGCTAAGCCGTTCATTGCTTTTACGCACAACTCTGGAAAGGAAGATACATTTTATTAATTCATTTTAAATATTAATTGCAGTATTCTGTAATTCTAAATTTGAAAATAAGGTCCTTAACACGGCTCACAAATAATAATTGCGTAATGGCCATTCTAGTTCAATAATAAATAAGTATGTCTTAACAGAATATGTTAATCCCACATATTTATTAGAGCAACACAACTCTATAACTATAGGTAGAGTAATAATATCATAGGTAGAAAGAATAAACTAAAGGAAAAAGCCTCTCTCAAACAAATTTGGCAATAGCGGTAATTATTTTTGATCCAGTCTTTTATGGTCAATGCTCTAGTGATTTGATGCGGCGCCCGGCGGTAGATCCAGGTCCTGACTTTATTACTGATGTTATAATTCGTTTTACTACCTTTTCACTGCTTTTGCTGAATCCTGAATATCTTATTTGTAAGTGTTGAAACTTACCAAAACACGTATATTAAACATCATTACAAAAAATATGTGATTTTGGATGCTCAAAAGTATATTGTTTCTGATGCTCGTTACTCATGACAAACAAGTTAAATATTAAAGTCGGATATGTCGTTAATGTTTGATGCTTGTTTTCAAGATGTATTGTGTACCTTTGAACTTTTATTTTCTTAACACAATGCTATGACAAGATTAGAAATATAATAATAATCAAGAGCCAGTAACAAGAAACTTAACCTAACCGACTGCTCTGTCGCTCTAATGACCCTGACTACTATGCCAGAGGTCGTGCTTTTAATTCCCACCCAGGACAAATAATTTGTGTGATGAAATTAATTATTTGTTCTGTGCCTGGGGGTGATATTTATAATATGTATGTAAACCTCCTTTCTCAAAGGGGCCTATGTCCAGCAGCGGATTATTAAAGGCTGATTTTGATGTAATGTATATATTAAGAAATAAGTATGTTTTTTAACAGTCTGGTTACTCTGCCTAATTTGGGCTAAGTTTCAAGTTGTAAAAAAGTGAAGAAGAATAAGCGTTGGTAATTACCATTCCAATGACGTAATATTTTCGCAGCATTTACAACCATTTAGTATAAACACATAAGTCAAGTGGCCTTCAACTACATCAGAAATGGCTTTGCTATTAAAGGGCATAAATAATTACATTGTAAAATAAAAGAACATAGCGGATATATTTTAAGAAGACACATCGAAAACGTTGCTTTCAGGGGTTTTGCATATTTTATTACCAACTATACATATGTGTATGTAGCTACATAACATAATGTATATAGTTTAAAAATTTTACAAGATTTTAAAAAATGCACACGTTTAATGCGGTATAAGCAAAAATAAAACTGGTAACTACACGGGTGACGGGAGTGTTTATAGGCCAGTAGGTAAGTCAGTAATAGCGTATTGCAGAATTGTTCAAAAAACCGTTTAATTATTAAGTCCGTGTGGTGACGGATTAAGAATACAGAGTGTCACCACCACTATTCATCCCGTGGGTGTCGTAAGAGCCGACTAAGGGAGTAAACTACGCAGGACAACAGCACTGCGGTAGAAAGAAAACTTGACACAAATCCTATACCAACCCGTCTGGCCAGCGTGGTATAGTAGGCCAAAACCTTTTTTTTGAGGAGAGGCCTAAATCCAGCAGTGGACTATTAAAGGCTGTTGATGTGATTAAGTCAGAAAAAACTAACACAACTCACACAATTCTGTTCTGGCTTGTCTAAAGTATGAATCTTTCGCATTAAGCCCTTCACTTGCACGTAGGAAAAAAGTTTCAGTAAAGATCACCGAGTGGCGACAAGCATCATCCGTGACTCACGATCCGGAATTTAATCAAGGCCATCCAAGACAAGGAATATCAAACTTGATTTTCACACTCTAGACGTAGGAGGGCCATGCTTCGGCACGAATGGGCCTGCTCGATCGGAGTGATACCACGGCCTCACAGAAAACAGGTGTTAAGCAATTCTTTCGTTGCCTTTCACTGAGTGAGTGAGGTTACCGGAGCCCAAATCCCCCCTCCCGCTGACTCAAGCGGGAGGGACTAAGGGCGGCAACGCACTTGTGACTTTTGAGTTGACGGTAGTTGCTTACCATCAGGTGACCCGTCTGCTCGTTTGCTCCCTTATAACGTAAAAAAAAACACTGTAGGTATAATATTTTTATTGCCAGTGTCCATAAATGTGGTGGTCCGAGTGGTGACGGATTATAAGAATACGGAAGGTCACCACCCCTATTCATCCCGTGGGTGTCGTAAGAGCCGACTAAGGGAGCAAACTACGCAGGACGACAGCACTGCTAAGAGAAGAAAACCTTGAAACAAACCCTATACCAACCCGTTTGGCCAGCGTGGTATAGTAGGCCAAAACCTCCTTTCTAAGGAGAGGCCTATGTCCAGCAGTGGACTGTTATAGGTGGTTGGTGGTGGTCCATAAATTACTTCAGTGCTTGCCATTAAGGGGGTAATATGTCAGTCTATCATCTTTCAGAAATTAAAAACTATTTTAAACACCAAACATTTTCCTTGGTGAACAGTAGATTTTGACATGTTATATCAGAAAATCAACCTCTTAACGGTGAAAAATTTAAACCTGATGATCAGAAACGGTTAGATTTCTTTTATTTTACGGCAATTATTATTTTGTATGTGTACCGGAATGTAGGTTGCGTAGCCAAGTTGAAGAGATTTTTACACGTCATTTAGACATAAATTACTTTAGGTGATGATACAATTCTCATCACCTAAAGTAATTTATGTCTATATCTTATCTGTCTGCAATTTAATTACAGGAAATATAAACAAACAAAAATAACTTATAAAAACAATATTATTTATAATAATGTATGACATGTGTACGTACTACGCAACTTTATGAACAATGTTTTTATTTTCTGTATTATTGAATATATATAAATGTATAATTAATGAAATGCTGCAGTCACATGAAGGTGATGATGCCAGTGGTTCTCGGTGATCTTATGGATGTGGTCATTTTATACGTTACGTATTTACATTTACTTTTTATACATTTTATACGTGATTCATACATACATATAAATCAGCTAAAGAAAAAAAGTAAAAACGGTATGGCAATGTTTAAGGATCTGAAAAAATATTAAAGTAGCCGTAGCCTACCGCTATACTGTGTGGGACACTATCTATAGATATCATAAAAAGAATAAGAATATGAGAAAGAATGGTTATTACACTCTTATCTGTAGATGGTAATTAACGTCTATTTTAAGTTAAGTCTTACCGACCAAAATTACTCAAACAGGCGGAGCGATGAAGATAGTCGGAATGTATTGGTTAAACATCGAAAAACAGGGAAGATTGAATCCTACAACTGGAAGCTACGTGAGTTTATATCGATTATTTCGAATAAATCTCCCATGCATTCAGCAACTATCATAACAACGCAAATTAGGAAAGATACGCAAAACATGGAGGCTTCTTATCTAAAATAATTTTAGAAATGTGAAAGTTGGGATGGATGAGTGGATTAGAGTGGAGTGAATGGCTTGATGTTTGTTACACAAATGCGTAAGAACAAGTAAACAAAATTGGATAAAATTTGATACAGAAATACATTGTAGTCAAACATTGATTCACAAATCGACATTTCCGTGTGCGAAGCAGGAAATGTTAGTTTTTTATACCTTTTAAGTATAATGTTAAGGATTGATTTTACTTAATCAATTGAAAATACTTATTATTTTACACACATTACTGCCTAAGTCATTACTTTTAGTAATTATCAAACTTTAATTGATGTAAACACAATAATAATTGTTCAAGAAGTTTGAAATACAAATACATAAAAAGTTAAGATTACACCTTATACTACATATCTCTAAAAAAATTGTTTGAATGCGGAAAAAGTCCACGCTTTATACATTTCAATAAAGATAAAAAAAGTTCAGATATGTTAATTATATTTAAACTAACTAATGATTGTTATTTTATAATAGATAGTTTAGAGTACAAAATTGATGATAATCGTTTAGCTAATAGTTTAAGTAATTACCCATATACTATTATTTTTATGATATTTAAAAAATAATAATAATCATATAAAAAAATAATATACATACAGTAAGAGGTGCAAATACAGAAAAAATGACATTAATAACTTATTGGAAAGGTATATAGAAGATGTTGTGTCTATAAAAAATCCTGTGCACCTACAGCTGCACTAACTGTGGTGGAATTTTAGGCGGACGAGATTTAGGGGTATTCATCCGTTAGCACGACCAAGAAGACAAAACAAAATCAAAATTATATAATTTGTAATAAATATAGGTAATTAAACCACCGGCATAGGGTATCCGTGCTGTGTTTCTCACAGACGAAAGGATTTCCAAGAGTTCATTTAAAAAAAAACAAATGCTAACAAAATTTATCTTACCTTATCCTTACATATATTATTATGACCAATTTTATCAAAATATCCTTAGGTGTAAAGCGTGGAGTGCTAGATCAATTGTTGTAAAAATATTTTACAGAAAGATAGATAATAGATATTATACAAATACGCACCCACTTCGATCAAGGTGCTAATTTCTAAATGATATATTATTACATATTTATGTAAAATATTATTTATACCTTTTTGTTTTGTATTGTATTCGAGGAAATGTGTTGTATTTAATATGTGTACTCGGTTGTAATGACTGTTGATGATAATGAAGTATATTTTTCTGACAATTACTCCTCCGGGGATGAGAGCTTCAGTTCCCTACCAGACACTTGGGGTGACCGATTACGGCAATCATTCAACAACCAATCACATTATTTATTAAATGTGGGTCATATAAATGCTCACAGTATTCCCAGTCACTTTGTCACTTTGTGACACACAATGTGCATCCATCCTGATTTCAGAAAAATGGCTTAAGTCGCAACCTAGCTTCGTACTAATTCGAAACGACCGACTAGAGTCAATAAGAGGTGGTGAGGTTGCCATTTACCTCCGTAGTTGTTTCCCCTACAACATCCTAGCCACTTCCTCTTCCGGTCCTTCTACTACCACTACCGCTTCTAATGTTTTACTAGGGGTAGTTTATTGCCGCCTACTGTCAAGTACTTCTAAAGTTTGGAAACAGTCTTTAGGGTCAGAATACTCACACTACGTCATCATGGGCGATTTTAACACCGACCTCCTAGCACTTAATTCGCCCCATACTCGTAATCTCCTTCACATAATCCAATCAGTCTATAATCCATGTCCTCCCCCTTCAAGCAACTCATCACAACATTAAGCACCAAGACACTTGCCTTGACCTAATGATCACCTTTGCTCCAAGACTTATTTATTCCCATGGTCAACATCCTGCACCTGGATTTTCCCATCATGACTTGATCTTCCTTTCTTATATCCTAAAACCCCCGAAATTCGCTCCCAAATTTCTGCATATTCGTAGTTTCAGACGAATGGACGTCAAAAACCTGTGTGCACGTGCTTCTGCATTAGACTGGACAGACTTGGCAGCAACTACAGACATGAACGACAAAGTCACTATTTTTAAGGACGCAGCTCTTAACCTGTATCAAAAGAAAATTAAAATCAAATTGAAGCGCCCCCCGGCTCCATGGATGACGGAGGAAATTCGAATGGCTATGAGACGTAGAGACCGTTGTTTCAATAGGTACAGGAAGGATCGCTGTGAGGAGAAATGGAATCTTTTTAAAGCTGCTAGGAATCGGTGTAACCAGGTGATACATAACGCAAAATGCCGCCATATCATTCAAAATATGAAAACCTCTTCAACTTCCAGTGTGTGGAAGTTCCTTGGAACACTAGGCATTGGCAAGCAACTACTGAGTTTAAGATGACAATTGGTCTAGATGATATATACCGTCATTTCTCAACTGACTTTTCTCCGGTATCTTCTGACGACATCAAAAAGATTATCCTATCCATTCGTTCCAATGCTGTGGGATGTGACAGTATCAGCCTTCGCATATTTGTGGCTATCCTGGATCATGTTCTTCCATAAATATCTTATTTCATAAATTATTCACTCGACTCTGCAACATTTCCCTCACTCTGGCGTAAGGCCTTCATCATCCCTTTACCCAAAAAAAACTAACCTCTCTCTCCCCGAACACTTTGACCAATTTCTATACTTCCCTTTCTTCCTAAAGTGCTAGAGGCCTGTGTATATAAGCAGCTCTCAGAGTTTGTAAATCAGCAGAATCTTCTTAGTCCTTTGGAATCTGAGTTCAGACCCGGTCACAGCACAACCACTTCTCTCCTCAAAGTGACAGGCGATATTAGGGAGGGTATGGAGGACACTAGTCATAGTGCTGGCTTTGATTGATTTCTCGAATGCCTTTAATACCTAATCATGACGTTCTAGTGGCCATCCTTTCCTATCTTATGATCACAGAAGCTTTGGAATGGTTCTCCTCCTATCTTCAGGGACGATAACAGAGTGTTCATATTAATAACTTGTCGTCGAGTTGGTGTGATCTTCTCACTTGCGTCCCTTAAGGCGGTATATTATCTCCCTTATTATTCTCAAAATTCATTAATCTCATAACCCAGCACCATCCGTGTACGCATCCCCTGTGCGCTGATGACTTACAAGTATACTCACGGTCAAGCGTTGAGGACATAACATACGCTATCGACAAAGTCAACAAAGACTTGGACTTTATAACGAGCTGGTCAACGAGGTTTGGCTTGTCTGTAAATCCAACTAAATGTTAAGTGATCGTCGTGGGGAGAAAACAAATGATAAGTAGGTTGGATATGGCGGTCATCCATCCAGTTGTCTAAAACAATGTGACTATACCTTTTAGTGCAGTGATAAAGAACCTGGGGTTATTTATCGCCTCGGCACTTGACTGGCGGGCACAGGTTACACACGTCAGCCAAAGAGTCACCACATGTCTCCGTGCTTTATATCGTTTGAAGAACTTCATTCCTTCTAAAACTACGGCTACGCTTATGCAGTCCTTAATTATTCAATTAATCGGCTATGGTGATGTTTGTTTTTTCGACCTGAATGCAGACCTTCTCAATAACTGCATTCGATTCGTTTTCAATCTTCGCAAGTATGTCCACGTGTCTGCTTTACGTTCCCAGCTGCAATGGCTCCCAATTCATCAGCGCCGCAGTTTACGAGCACTGACTTCTCTTTTTTCTTCTCGTACCCCACATCCGTTTCTTACGCTCCAATCACGACCGAAATCGTCGATCAACTAACAATATGCTTCTTCTATACCCCCCTCACACCTCCAACTTCATTAACTCCTCCTTCTACGTCCAGTCACTTCTTCTTTGGATTGCCCTCCCTGCCAAAATCAGGATGTCCACAAACCGCCTTGCATTCAAGAGAAAAGTGCGCGATCTTCTTCGGAGTGAATTTTCAGAACAGTCACAGTTACAGTCAGGCATTAAGTCCGCCTTTGTACAACATGTGCATTAAGTTTTAAATAAATAAATATTGGTAAAAGTAAATTTATTATATTATAAAATGGATTGAAAAGCACCCCACTCTTTTCTACGATCAAATTATTTTCTTTTTGAATTTATTGAAAAAGCCCTAGTTAATCCTAAAGGTCTTAATCAGGATACTAGGACAAACTATTGCATTATCATCGGTCTTTGGTAAGTTTCAATTTATTTCGACCTTTTACAGTGGGTCAAAAGCACGTTCGAAGATTCCGTTACATACATACCAAGCTAATATAATCATCACATCAACAGACTTAAATAGTCCACTGCTGGACATAGGCCTCTCCTTAGAAAGGAGGTTTTGGCCTACTATACTACGCTTGCCAGACGGGTTGGTACAGGGTTTGTGTCCAGTTTTCCTTCTCTTGCCAGTGCTATTGTCCTGCGTAGTTTATTCCCTTAGTCGTCTCTTACGACACCCACGGGATGAATAGGGGTGGTGACACTACTTATTCATAAGCCGTCACCACACGGCTAATATAATAACACATAGAAAGAAATACTAAGAAAGTAGTATTTTTCACTATTTCCTTTTTCGCCTTATCGTCGAAAAGACGTTTTAAAGAAATTACTATATATTTTTTTTGCTAAAAAGGGCAAACGAGTAGACGGAGTCATGTGATGTTAAGAACTTTTGGCGCCCATGGACCTTTTTTTTTTTTTCGTGCGGAAAGCCCCTCGGATACCACCTTGGTGGCATGTCGGACTCGAACCGACTAAAACCGCACGCCGTCTCGGGGAACTAATAGCCGGGGAACCAGGTATACTCTAGAAAGGAAGTCCCTGGTGCCCCGACATACCACGGGCCATCTACAGACGAGTAGACGACCCCCCTCCCGTGTGGGAAACGCCCATGGACCCTGACACTTGCAACTGAAGAGACACAAGTGCGTTGCTGCCCTTAGGTTGGAGGGGGGACATCCGTAGTATTAGGGGTGAGTGTTGGGCCTCGAGTGAACTACCTTACGCGGGAAAAAGCAATAAAAGACTTGCTTAACATCGGTTTTCTGTGATACCACGTATGATGGCTCAATATGGCGTGGTTCTCCCTACGCTAATTCAAATAACAGCAACTAAATTAAACCAAAAATGATCGATCTAATATGAAATTGTTCACATACCCGGTTTTGCATTCAGAAATAAAACTTCTAACTTTATTATCCTAAGTGTTTTAGGGATAATTTTCCTGATAAAACGATTAATCACGTGGAAACAGTTGATTACAGTGTACAAATTGCTCTCATGACGTGAATTTTTTTCATAAAATCCTAATTCCAAGTCAAAGGTTAAACTGTTTGACGCATGACATTACAACCACAATTAAATACAATAGTTGTAATCCGCTAAATACCAAACAAGTTATTGTGTTCTTTATAAAAAAGTCGAGATTGATAGGGAACCCATAATAACACATTTCAATTATAAATATTACTATAGTAAAAAAAATATCCTTAATTGCATTCCACATACAGTATTGAAGTGATGTAATAGTCTGCACATCAGGACGCATAAAAATAAATCTCAAGGGAATCTTCTACCTATGTCATCTCAAAGCATTTAATACGCACAATATAATCTTATTAAAATTTTATTGAGTATGACCTTTTAAATTAGATAACAGTTTTATTTTACATTACATTAATGCTGTGGTAATAAAATGGTGACGTGTCCAACGTAGTGAAACAGTCTTTTAAGCTAAATTTTTACATACTTTTTATATGGAATGTCCGTATAAAAAATATGTTTTATCAATTTTCTTGTTTAATGAACATTTAGTATAGAATTTGATAAAAAGTTTTTTAGAACTGTACAAGGTAAATATTTCCTGAGTTTTTTAGACGACTCCAAAAAAGAGTACCTTTTTTTTGTTTTTGAATGTTATGATCAAAGGGTATAACTCCCGAGGTGGTCCCAAGTTAACATACGTTGTTGAGATCACTCAAATTTTATAAGGCCACGCATGTTTCATCTTTTCTCTTAAGCTACACAGGTATTTCCGTTTGCCAGTCATTATTTCATGTTTCTAAGCTGATGATGACAGGGTCCTTGACTTTAAGGAGTTAGGAGACAATTCTTTTAAAAACATATTTACTTGTTGATCTTTAGTTGTATTATTTCATAACTATTATTAGGTGTTTGTGTGTCTGGTATTACAGAGGTTTGTTCACAAGAACATTTCTACAAATACTTATAACAAAAATTAAAAATGCTTATTAAGTACGCAATTATCTTAATGTTTGTTACCTCATTTTTTTTTAAATTTGTGAAGTAATTTAGATAATACTTTTTTATTCATAAGGGTATGTCCTACTTCCGGTTGGGTCGCTTTGAAATTTGAGGAAAACAGACCATCCCTATAGGTGGAAACTTAAATAATTTATGTTACAGTTTACTAAAATTCTTAATGAGGCAGGTATATTTGACTCAGCTCAACTATACCGCTATAATAACAGAACAAACAATTAAGTATAGAATATAATTCCTTTTTCTGTGGCTATAATTGCATTGGTAATTTAAATAATACACTTACACACTTACCTTCAATTTTCTTAGAAATTAGATGCTGTGGTGAATTTTGTGGTAAGCCGAGATATCTGTAAAAAGTTTGATATTTAATATTTTTAACCAACTTAACCGACTCTAATTTACACCTGAGTTAAAATATGTAGCTTGGCCATTTCGTTACTTCAAGAATTATTGTATAACAGAAAAGTAATAAATAATCAATAACTTCTTTCACCTTATGCCCATGCAACGGTGTCGAGTTTGTGAAGTTAGGCTTATAGAGTTAGATAATTCAGCACATTGATTTATTACAGTTACAACAATATGTATCACTTCAATAACAGCACCCCAAATCAAATATTTTTCAAAATCGTAGTATTTTTACTAGTCATCTGAATTTCTATTCCAATGTGTGTATAGATGTTAGTTTACACACGATTCATATTAGACTATACATACTAACATAATTCACTAACAAAGGAGAGTAATAAAAGAGTACCTTTTTTTTTTTTTTTTTTTTTTTTTTTCCGTGCGGAAATCCCCTCGGATACCACCTGTCGGTGGCATGTCGGACTCGAACCGACTAAAACCGCACGCCTTCGCCGGGTACTAATAGCCGGGGAACCAGGTATACCCTAGAAAGGAAGGCCCTGGTGCCCCGACATACCTCGGGTCATCTACAGACGAGTAGACGACCCCCGCCCCGTGTGGGAACCCCATGTTCCCTGTGCTCCCTGGAAGCGAGCGCGCTTCACAACGCGCTCGCCGCCACCCCGGCCTGCTTCTGCTAGGGTGACAGATGGCCTCACCTGTCACCCCCAGGCCTGCGCTTATGGAGGACGGAGGTCGTTCTGCGACCTCCGGCGCCTGAGTCGCCTGCGCTGCCCGGCCCGTGCCCGGGCCTGGCGGGCCGGGAGAGTTCTAAACCTCTCCCGGTCCCGCTCCGCCGTCTCCTTCGCGAGCATAACTTGCTCGCAGAAGGAGACGGCAGAGTTCCACGCACTCTCGCTCCGCACGATAGCCGCAATCAGGCTATCGAACGAGAGAACTCCCACTCCGATGGCAGCCACGAGGTCTCGCCTCTGCTCAACCCACGCCGGGCACTCTGCCAGCGTGTGGAGAGCCGTGTCCACGGTCTGGCCATCGCAGTGGTGGCACTCAGGCGTTGGCTCCTTGCGGATCAGACACAGGTGATCTCCGAAACAACCCTTCCCAGTGATCACCTGCGTCAATCGGTATGAGAGGGTCCCGTGACGCCTCTCGAGCCAATCCTCCATAACGGGTCTTACCGCCGCAATGACGGCGTGCCCAATAGAGTACCTGCATACGCAACAGTAGTTCTTCTACATGGCTCTACATTAGATCTAGCATTTAGTGACAGTACGAGTCATACGATAATAATATTCTATCACATTCACACAGCGCCATCTAGTCCTAAACTAAGTAGAGCTTGTATAATTATGGTCTCGTCTTAGCAATATTTTACATGTAAATGTTTTTGGTGATTTCACTTCTTTTAGTAAGTTGCTTATGGCAATATTTTTTTTTTATGTTCATTTTTAGGTAAAAGGTAAAAAACCCTTATAAGATCACTTTCTTGTGCGTCTGTCCGTGTGTCCCACCGATTTTCTCAGGAGCGGGTAGACCTAGCAAGTTGAAATTTATACTAGATACTAAGGTCTATGGTCCCTATTAGGTGTATAAAAATCAAGGTTATATTATCTTTTTATCGTGTTGACTCAGCAACACGATAAAAGATATGGGCAAATTTCGATTTTCGCGAAAAGTTGTAAGTACCAAAATTTACCTTAATTTTCAACTTTTTTTATTTTTCAGAATTTTCTCTTTAAGACCTCTCTGTAAGACCTCGCTTTTAACCAATATTGACAATTCTATGTCAATTGGAAGTACCCTATAGGTTTTGGGTTGAAAACCTATATGGTAGTTCCCGTTGGCCGAAATTTGGCAAAAAGAAACGCCTTACGGCACAAATAAATAAATAATTCCAAAAAATAAAAAAGTTGAAAATCAAGATAAATTTTGTTACTTACAAATTTCCGCGAAAATCAAAGTAAAATCTGGGTAGGTACGGAACCCTTGGCGCACGAGTTCGACTCGTACCTGACCGGATTTTTACTTCTTTTTTGGGATGTATTTCTTTTACATTAGACGTACCTTAACTCATAACCCACTTTCTATCTTTGCCTTTTATCAATTTTCAGACCTCTAGTAACAAAATTTTTGGAATCTCATACAGACTTCCATCCCTAAGGGATTTGGGTAAAAGTGCGAAGCTTTAGATTTTTTTGTTGTTTGTGTACTTATACCAATTTCAACTTCCTAGGACTTCAGGAATTACCCTAAGAATTTCGATGATCATCAGTGAGTCAGTGACGAAATCGGGTTTGTTTAGATATCCATAAATTCTAAAGTATAAAACGCATGCAATTCAAACTTTGTTATGATTAAACTATGTTTAATATTGTGAATTATAGTGGACTTGCTATTGACATCACATCGCAAGAATTTTGTTTATCTGGTGTAATCTAAACCCAAGTTATGAGGGATTGAAAAACGCGAGATGCTTCGAGAAAAGGTAAGTAGTGCCCTTGCGCTTCGACTTGGCAGGGGCACTACCTAACTATTAGTTACTCAGGACTAGCTTACCCCGAGAGACTCAGTTTTTGGCCTGTCGCAGTATGACAGAAAAAAATATAAAGTATATCAGAGTAATCGATTTTCTTCAACATTTGTTTAATTGATAAATATGCATACAGCCTAATCAACTTGAAGGTATACCAAAGATAATCCTAACGCGCCTTGATTTTGTTTTGATTGACATCAAATGTTTGACAATTCAGTATATGTGTCACAGTCTTTTAATTTACTCTGTGGATTGTATGATAAAAGGAAAGTGTGGTTTTACTATTCTCTATGGGTAGAGGCAAGGAGAACTAGATTTCATGTATGAAAAGAGTCCGTCAAAATGCGTTAAATTGGCGGCGCTACAGTATATTCAATATATTTTTTTAAAGAAACTATACCTATTGGCTTCAATAACAATTAGCGAAAATAGTCAATGAGTTTTACAGACAATAAATAAACGTGTAATAATTTTCAGACAATAAATAAATGTGTAATGATTTTCAGACACTAAAAGTATTATAATATTTTAACTCATCACACGTCACTCCGTCTACAACAATAGCTGCTGTAGATGGAGTGAAGTTCATATCGTAGTTTTTCGTACGCCAGCGACCTCTATTTTCAGTGTCCAGCTGGACACTTTTTTAGCTTTACCCTCATATGAGATGGTTATCCTTGCCTCTACCCTCCGTACTTTTTTCTCTCCATAAGACCTTCCTTGTGCCTTTACAATAATATGAAAAAAAAAGCTGAATTAGTCGAGCCGTTCTTGAATTTTGTGATACATATTTGGTGATTCATTTTTATTTGTATAGATAATGTAAAAACGGTAACATTAAAACTATAATTACAATATAGATCCAGTACATGTATATTTTTGTCATAGAAAGAAAGTAGACACCATACATCGACAGTTCAAATAGGACTCGTTAATGAAATAAAACAAAACATTTAAAATGCTTGAAATTCAGATGCAGAAACAAATGACGGAACACGCTTAGAAAAGGAATATATACTATATTTATAATAATATATATATATTTTTTTAATTTTTGTGTATTAATGAATGAATTACCTCTTAGGATCTCGAGCAGAGCGCACATATAAAAATGTAGAACGCAGCCACTCGACACACTGAGCCACATCTCCTACGGTTCCTAGAGCTGCTTCGCTGTTCAAATTCTCTGGTAACCGCTTATGTAGGTAGCTCTGAAGAGGTTCACAGCCCCCTACCAGTGCCTGATAACGACCCTATTTATAATAAGTACAGTTTAGTAAAACTAAATCAATCACGTGTTAATGGCGAACCATTAAAAAGTAAAAAATAATTTAATTATCCACCTCCCGGGTACATTATATTTTTGAACCTAACCTAATCTGTCAAAACGAATCGTTTGATCCTCGACTCATGGGACTACTCACAGCCGAGGTCCATCCCCCGGTCTCATTATCGGATTAGTTCCAAGATGGCAAATAGATACCAAATTACATTTGGGTATGACAATTAGCAGTAGCTTTCAATAAAATTCCAAGATTTGTGTACAAAAACGCATGCTGCCATCTTTTTTTACACTACACCAGCACTACAGTTAACAAGATGGGCTGGATGAAGGCTCTATAACGCCGTCCCTCACCATTCCATCAATCATGATTTCCACTTCCTTTTCTCGTGCTACCGGCAATCGCCTTGGTCGCTGACGAATAGACAAACCCATTCTCGGTGTTAATTTTGTTTTGAACTAAACAAGTCTTTTCGATATCCGCGTCATTAAAAGAGAAAATTTCAGCGTACTTCTAACATAATCTTAGTCTTATCTATCAAAAGTGTTAACAAAGTGTTTGATTATCCATAGTTATGAGGTAAACTAACTGGCACGATTGTTTCTGATCTGGGAGGAAGAACTATTTTTGAGCTGTATCCCTTCCCCTTTGATGCCCCCTCCATTAACAGTTCTCCTTGACCACATCTGATTACACCTTGCTTAATATCGGTCACACAACCATGCTTGGCGAGTCAGGTCCACCTTGTCTCGCTGTAGCTGTTCTTCCAAGCGACGGGCCTGCTACTCCTGACGGTGGGCCTGCTCCTGGAGCATCGTTATTAGAGCCGTGATATCTGGAGCCGCTGACGATGTGGACGGTGTGGCTTCCATTGCTGACTGCTGTCCCTTCAATGTAGGCTGGTGTGCGCCTCTAAATCGTCTCTGGTCAGCCTCTTACTGACTCTGTGTCTGTGTCTGCTTTTGGTAAAACCGGCATACTTTTATCCCGCTTCTGACACCAAATTGTTACGAGCCAAGGATTCGATAAATAAACCAAAAGCGGTTAATTACTAACATTAGCACTGTATTTACAAACACTAATTAACTAAATAACTCGCGTCGTTGGTCGCACTAGAAGATCGCTTAGATGTTACTCCCCTGTCTCGTAAAACAATACTCGGCCGTACGGCCAACACGCTCCAATTTTATAGGGCGAAATAACCGATTCGATAGACCGTTCCAGATAGTAAAGAATTTTCCAGTTTCAATAATCTGCCGTTACCCGACACTAGATTGCACTGCAAGTATTTGAATTATGCATCATTACCTCAAAGCGTATTCGTTGTATAGCACTTGATACTAGATGGCGCTTTCCTCCAGATTCAATACGAACCTCGATTGTTCACGAGCTATACAATACAAGAACTATTTATTCCTATGGGGCAACAGTATATAACACGTCGTCACTGCAGTTTCATAGAACATATCACATAGAAAGTCACAATAGATTCTATCTACATCTACTTACTACATTAATTTCTTCCCTTACTTTGTACCTACTATTTAGTAATTAACTTGTAAATAAACTACATATTACTTTTGAAAGTATACTCGTTGTAGAATCAAGTTCATGAGCACCTTATAAAAATGGTAGTATATTATTAATAGCAATACTAATGATAAAGATGAACTCTTTTGACTAGGCCGAAAATAAAAAAAACTAATTTGTTTGTTAATTTTCGTCATTGGAAAAATTATTGGTTGAGACGTCACAATCGAAAGTAACCTGAACAATATTTGAGACGATTTATACAAATAGTTTTTTCACTTTATATTATAACCCAGATCATACTGATCTTACTACTTTATTTATAATTACTTAATATATCGTAAATTTGGACTTAATACATAAATACAAAATGGGTTTGACAAAGGAGGAGAAACTAGCCAAAAAAGAGGCAAAGAGATTAGAAAAGTTGAGACAGGAAGAAGAGGCACGGAGGCAGTTGAAACGTGACGAACTCCAACGTGAGATCTCTGCGTTTACGTTACGAAGAGCGGCTCTTGATAAGAGTTGGCGTGAAACAATGATGAAAATTAAAGAGCCCGTTTTTATAACAGATATTGAAATTATGTGGCACGTGTTTGAAAGGGCTTACGATAAAAAAGATCATCTTATTAAACATATCATGAAACTAATTGACACTGCAGATGATCAGTTTCAAAGAACTGTAGCGAGCTTCTGTGTTATTATTGATGGGATGATTAACAAATTTTTGACAGACTTAGATGATTTATCTAAGGAAAATGATATCAGAACCGCTGCATTATTAAAGAGAGGTGAAGATGATGTTGCTAATATTATGCGGGATCATGAAGCAGCTGAAACTCATTTACAGCTGCTATTATATCATTCTCATACATCTGCTGATGCAGCAGCATGGACAGTGCGTGGAGAAAATTTGGTAAAACAAGACGAGGATCGAAGTAAATTTGAAAATGATCGTGAAAATTTACGTTCGTATCTAGAAAACGTTTATAATGCTACATGGGAGGAATATAAGTCTGTTCTTCGGGCCTATGTCCTAGACACTGCCGAAAATCAAAAACAACTCCGTAAATTACGACGTAAAGAAACTGTAATGTCTGACATAATTGCCTCTCAAGGTAAAAAAATTGCGAATAGCGATGGGCTACTAAAACGTCTGCGTTCAGAGCTGGCGGCATATGAATCAGGTACAAAACAGGCTGTCTTTCGAGATCGGCGTGACAGGCATAGAAATGCCTGTTTAACGTTAAAGAAAAATATGTACAATGGTGTTGAAACCGATATGAGACAGATGGCGAGGTTGGTGAGGGTTTCTGATGATGCTGTGGAATGGCTACAGGCAGCGTTCTCAAAGGTTGAAAGAATACTTCGAATGGCAGCACTCTGTCGTAAATTTGAAACGCGCCGCGAAAAAGTTTTACCTTATGGATCATGCCCTCCTCAAAGTCCGATGCAGGCTAAGCTTTCTGTACGACAGCAAATGTCTGACGAGTCATTAATTGTACACGCAATGAGTGCAAATACTGGATTGACTAGATTGTGGCATAGAATTTCTAAAGCAGAATTAACTAAGAGAGCTTTATATCGTGAAAAAATGTTACTAGAAAAAGAAAACGCATTTATAATTAGCCGCTTAGAAGCTAATGATGAAAAAGAAATCTCTCTAGGAACTCAAAACTGCAAATGCACATCTACTTCAAGAATTGCTTCCATAACTGTCATAAAAGCACCAGTGATTGAAGCTAAAAACGCATCAGCTAGCAAAATGAGCTCAAATTCAATAGCCAATTCTCAATTACATGAAGATATTATTTAATGTTTTCATTTGAATTTCTCAAGTTAATACAAATCTTGAACACTCTTTGTATTTTCATCTAGTCATATCCTCCTGTAAATACCTTTATTTTTAAAGGAGGATATAGCTTCGTCTTTTGACCCAAACAGTTCAAGCAAAAAAAAAAGCGTTTAAAAAACCTAGGCTAAGTGCTTACTTAGATTTTCATGTAGATAATGCTTATAAACCATTTTATCTCACATGTCTGAATAGATCCCAACACCCAAAAGTCAAGATACTGGTTCTAACTATCGTGATTACTGCAAGCTAATACCTTTAGTTGATGTTTTTTTAATACCGTTATTGGTTTAATGTTCGTTTATTACGAAATGCCTACATTAATGGCAAATAAAAATTAATATCATGTGACCTAAATAACCAGAATCTTATAACATAAAATAAAAAGTGCCTTGTTATAGTTAGTCCATGGTACCTTTCAAAAATAAAAATAAACTATTATATAACTTAAAAAGTACTAATTATCATTAACAGCCTTAAATAGTCCATAGCTGGACACAGGGCTGGCCTCTCTTTAGAATGGAGGTTTTGGCCTACTTATACCTCGCTGGCCAGACGGGTTGGTATAGGGTTTGGGGTGCTAGCTAGAAAACCTCCCCGTGGTGCACCCTGGAAACGCTGGCGATGGTACTGTTTCCTCCTTGTCCTCTTGGAGGAGAGGATTATCGCCAGCGGCCAATATTCTAGCAGAAGAGGCAGCCGTTCATCGGCTCTCGGGCAAGGCCTGGTCCAGCAGGGTGGGCGTGTCTGCCGGTTGCCCTGCTGGCTCTTCGCTCTTCGGAGCATGGAGGAGGAAACCTCGGTAAAAAACCTGATGGCGGGGCCCTGTAGGGGCCACAGTTTTCTCCGCTGATAGCGGTGGAGAAAGGAGGACGGGCTCGGCGTGTACTGACACTACCACCGAGCAGGCAGGGGGACGTAGTCTCCCTGTCAACCGTCGGCATATCGCAATCCCGAGAAGAGCGCTGTGGTTAAGTCTCGCGGCTCTGATCGGGGGCGAGGGTCTTGGCTTAACCGCCCGGACCGCGAGGAAGATAACCTCTCTAAAAAAATTCCCCGAATCCCGTGTTCTGGTGCGTGGCCAGGGGATGCATGGCTGATGGGAAGTTCAGTCGCGAGCGCACTCCAAGCCGAGGTACCTGCGGACCCCTCGGTTGGGTTAAAAACTTACGCTTGCCCGGGTAATGGGGGATCTCTGCCCGGGTGGACCTGTATTTCTCCCCCACTCGTGGGATTTATCATGGAAAACATAAAGTCTAACCAAAACAAAAAACGAACGGAAACAAATATACAACGGAAAAAGGCAAGCAATACGGACACTGAAACGAAGGGTACAAAGGAGAAGAGGAACAGTGGAGCGGATGGGTCGTCCACTGACGGTGAGATGGTGTCAGGAACGCCTATCTCGATGGGGCTCCCAGAGGTCAGTCTGACTCTGGTCTCTGGGAGCCGAAGGGCATCGGATCGTTTGCGTTCCGGATCCGCCGTTTCATCGGATGGCGCGGACGCCATGGAAGCGGAGCGGAGCGACAGCCGGAAACGCGGACGCTCCAGGGAAGAGGGGACCGACACGTCCGGCGAAATGATGCCACCAAAGGTGGCAAGCAGCCGCCGAGGGAGGGCACGTAAGCCGGCCTCGGTCTCGACCCCGTCAGGCTCCGTGTTCTCAAACGCGGAGTCCTACAGGAGCGTACGAGTGGACGGCGAGGCCGTAGCGGAGGAGGAGATCGCGGATCTCCTGCTCAAGGTTCGGGAGCCGGTGGGGGGAAATGCCCCCCAGGCTCCCGTGGTACAGGTGGCCAACGAGAAGCTGACGGAGCGGGTGAACGAGCTGAGCGCTCAGTTCGCCCGCTTCCAGGCGAACCTCCCCGAGCGGGAAGCCCCGTCCGCGTCCCAGCCTGCCCCTACCACCAACTCAGGGGCATTTGACTCCCAACTGCGAGAAATCCTCATCGCAGTTGGGAATATGCTGGACGGACGCCTGGCTGGCCTGGAGGCGAGACTGCCCCCTGCGCCGATTATGCGCCCCCCGCTCGCGTCGGCACAGCGGCCTAAGGCCGCCGCTCCGACCGCGCTCCCCGTAGTGGGAGGCCGCGTCTCCTACGCGGCGGCGGCGTCTGCCCCGACTCCATCGGCTCCCCAAAAGCCGAGGAGGGGGGCCAAGGCACCGGCCCAGGCGCCGGCCTAGGCACCGGCTAAGGCGCCGGCCAAGGCACATCCTCAGGCGCCGGCCAAGACGGGGCCTAAAACGGCGCCGAGGAGCGGAGTGGCATTCCCTCCGCTCCCCACTCCGACACCCACGCCGGGCCCCTCCGCACCTGCCCCCTCCAACGAGGGTTGGCAGGAGGCGAGGGGCTCCAAGAAGTCCCGAAAGCGGGCCAAAAGGGCTGCCAAAAAAGCAGCCCAAGCCACGCCTTCGCCACCGGTGGCAACGGCCTCCACAAAGAGGCCGCGGAAGCTGCAGCCGCCCAAAACCGCGGCTGTAGTGGTGACCGTGTCCCCGGAGGCGGCTGACGGCGGGCTGTCCTACGCGGGCCGTGTTTAAAAAGGCCCGGGACAGCCTCGCCAACGACTTTGGGACGGCGGGGGTGAAGATGCGCCTCGCCCAAACGGGAGCTCGAGTTCTCGAGTTCCCAGGGGCTGAAGGCGCCAAGACGGCGGACACTTTCGCTGAGAGGCTGCGGGATTTATTCGCGACCACAGATGGTGTCAAGATCGCCAGGCCTACCAAGTGCGCGGAGCTGCGCATCTCGGGCCTGGACGACTCTGTGACGGCCGAAGATGTCCGCGCTGTAATCCGGGAGAAGACGGGGTGCAGCGCGGACAACGTCAGGGTCGGCACCATCCGCCCCGGTCCAGGAGGGCTTGGCGCCGTGTGGGTCAGCTGTCCCGTAGCGTCAGCCAAAGTATTGGCCGACGCCGGCAGGCTGCTCGTCGGTTTCGTGAGCGCCAGGATCACAGTCCTGGCGGCGAGACCGATGAGGTGTTACAAATGCCTAGCATCGGGGCACACGCGCGTCAAGTGCCAAAGCTGCTTCGACTGCAGCGGACTTTGTTTCCGCTGTGGTCGACCGGGGCATGTGGCGGTGGAATGCTCTGCCGCCCCTCACTGCCCGGTGTGTGCGGCGGGTAACAAGCCCGCCAATCACCAGATGGGGCAGGGGGGCTGCAAGCCTCCCCGCATCTCTCAGCAAGCATCGGGGGCTAGCCAGTCGACCCAGGCTGCCTCCGATGTAGTTCGTGCGTCGACGTCGTCGCCCATGGAGGAGGCTGTAGAGACGATCCAGTAATGGATCTGGTCTCCAGCCTCCTGGTCCAGACGAACCTGAACCACTGTGCCGCGGCGCAGGATCTCTTCCTGCAAACCATGGCACAGTGGTCGATAGGTGTTGCCGTAGTCGCGGAGCCCTATTCTGTCCCTCCCCGTCCAAACTGGATGGGTGACTGGGACGGCTCCGTGGCAGTCGTCGGTTCCACGACGGCTCATTCCCCGCCCTTGTCGCTAAGAGACAAGGGCACTGGATATGTTGCCGTCGAGTGGGGGGGGATCACCATATATGGTGTCTATTTCTCCCCCAACCGGAGTTTGAACGACTTCGAGGTTTTCCTAACCAGCTTGGAGACCTCGATACGGCGACTAGCGTCTGGGCACGTCCTTGTGCTGGGGGACTTCAACGCAAAGTCCATTGCGTGGGGTTCCCCCAGGACGGACGCCAGGGGCGAGGCCGTAGAGGAGTGGGCGGCCTCGGTGGGCCTCTGTCTTCTAAACAGAGGCTCCACCAACACGTGCGTGCGACAGCAGGGGGGGTCGATAGTGGACCTCTCGTTCGCTACCCCTGCCCTCGCCGCACGAGTAAGGAACTGGCGTGTCCTGGAAGAGGTTGAGACGCTCTCGGATCACCTGTATATCCGATTTGAGCTCTCCCGGACCCAGGACTCCAGTAGGGGTCACGTGGCGCGGCGTTTATCCCGCTTTCCGCGGTGGGCTGTTGCCAGGCTGAACCGGGACCTACTAGAGGAGGCAGCCATAATTCACTCGTGGCTGTCTCCTCAGGCTCCGACCGAGGAGGTCGACGTGGGGGCTGGCCGCTTTCGCGATGCGATTACGCATGTATGCGATGCGGCCATGCCCCGCGTTCGAGGTCGTCGGCCTCCAAGGAAGGAGGTCTACTGGTGGTCCCAGGAGCTGGCGGACCTCCGTGCGGCCTGTACACGTGCCCGGAGGTCCTACACGCGCAGTCGGCGGCGTCACCGTGGAGACGGTGAGGAGGACCGGCTTCATGAGGAGTACCGACGGGCGCGGGAAAACTCTGAAGCTGGCCATTAGCCGCGCCAAAGAAGAAAAAAGACAGGAGATGCTGGAGGGTCTTAATCGTGACCCCTGGGGTCGCCCTTACCGCGCGGTGCGACAAAAGCTCTGCGCGTCGGCCCCCCCCCCTTACGGAGACTCTCCAGCCCAGCTTCCTGCGAGAAGTGGTTGAGGGCCTTTTCCCACAACGGGCGGAACACACTCCCCCGTCGATGGCCTCCTTGGCCGGAGACGACGGGGAGCACGGGAGGATAATGTTCCGCCCGTCCGGGAATCGGAAGTAGGGGCGGCTGTTCTACGGATCCGTTCCAAGAACACCGCCCCTGGGCCAGACGGGGTACCGGCCCGAGTGCTGGCCCTGGCCCTCAACCACATGGCAGACCGCCTCGGGGAGGTGTTCGACGCTAGCTTGGCGTCGGGACGCTTCCCTGAGTGCTGGAAGAGCGGGAAGCTGGTCCTATTGAGGAAGCCGGGACGGCCTGCCGATTCGGTCGCGGCCTATAGGCCCATCGTGCTGCTGGACGAGGCGGGCAAATTGTTTGAGAGGGTTCTTTCTGCCCGCATCGTCCGGCACCTCTGCGAGGTGGGCCCCGATCTGTCGGACGCCCAATTTGGTTTTCGGGCGGGGCGTTCGACAGTCGACGCCGTGTTGCGC